AGAACTAAAATATTTCAAATAATTTAATAATTAATAATTATTAATAATTTAATAATTTTATTAAACGTACCAATGCATGTAAGACATACGTTCACAAAATTTTTACAATTCTTTTGACATTATTTTATAAACACCCTGTATCTTTTATAGTGCAAAAGAGCGAATGGCGAATGTTATAATAATCGAAAGAATCAGCATCACCAACCAATTTTCCATCATTTTTGCTGTTGAGAAAAAATGCTTGTGTTGGTTTACGTTGACGTAAAGATCAAGGACTTGTCATTCACAGCTTATTTTGCACCACAATGTTTTTATTTTCAGCAACAAAATTTAAACCAACTTCTGGCAAGTTGGCAGCTGAATTTGGTGTTTTGGTAATTCCCCCATTATCAATTTTTTATTTGGCATGTGGTTTTATTAGTCTAATAATACAGATTACAATTAAATCTCCCCGGTGTGTGGCTGTTATATCACAATATTTACACATACCCTTGCCAACAAAAACAACAATTTACAAAACAAAATTTTCGCCGAAAATCTATTTTCGTATGTCGTATAATAAAAGCAATAAAAGCTTACCAATTACCGAGTGGCATTTGGGATGTATAATTCCACTGGGTAAGAGATGAAAGTCGTATTCCACCCCTTCAATTACCACTGTATGACCTGCATTATTTCCACCCTGAAAAAGAAGACTGGATTTCAAATTAAATGCCAAACAAACAAAAAAGATACGGCAAGTGCTTTGACCTGTTTGTTATGACTTCCAACAAGATTGTGGAAATGTAAAAAAAAACTATCGTAAGGTTTAAAAAGCTATTTTAATTACCGAAGTTACGTAAATTTAATTGTTACGTAAAATTTAATTACAGAACGTTTTATAACAATAATTAATTGGAACGGTTTAAAGGCACGTTTTTCACATGCAATGAAGATACCTAATACTATTAAAAATAAACATCTTAAAATACCACAGTTTAGTTTTTAATCAACAGTTTCACACGGGAATAAAATTGGCTCAGCATTTGTTCAAAAAAATTAAATAAAAGTGACTTTCTGGCAATATGAAACGTATTTCGAAATTATTGCGTCACTTACGGAAAGTTTTGCATTTGATGCCACTGTCATCAATTATTCTTTACTATAAATTCCAACAAGATTTGGACGATTCGGTTAATCTAACTTGTTGAATTTTAAGTTGAAAAAACGAACTTTTCTTTAATTATGTAATTAATAAAAAATATATTGTTACGACACCTTGAAAACAAATTTCAAGGTTTCTTGAATAATAACTGAAATCGATGTTCAGTTCGAAAACCTTGGCAAAATTGATTACTTGTTAGAAAAACACTATTTCTTCAATTTAACTTACAAGAATGTCGTCTTAATAATAAAATGAGAGAGCGTTTTTAATTATTTGAAGATGATCTCATTCAATTTCAAACATAAGATAATATTACGCGAGGAGTAGGTATTATCTAGTTACTACTCAACAAAAGTTTAAAAGATCATCTTATTCATTCACTACAAAACATTGTGCAATAATACCTAATTTTCATTTCGAACTTTCAAATTTCTTTAACACAAAAAATTTTTTTCTCTTTTTTTTAAACATCACGTTTCAGTTTTATAAAATTTAAAATGAATTAGATTAGAATTACCTAAACTAAAAGTAATTTCAGTACAAACAGGTTGTTTCAGAACTCGCCTGAGAAGAAAAATGGCAATTAATACCGTGCGATCAAAAAAAAAAAATAATAATAATAAGAGTAGGCGGTGATTAAAGTCCTTCAGACGGCAATCCTGATGTTTGCCATCAAATGTCAGCGGAAACTTTGACAAGTTTGCGTTTTATTTTGAATGAAATAATGTACACTTTAGAGCAGAAAATTTTTATTGTTGCAAGTTATTACAATTCATTTTCGCTTTCAGTTTGTGTGGAAAATTTACAGCCCAGATTCCCAGCCAATGTGTTGCCAACTGCAGAATTTAATCGACGCCTACTCTAATTTATTTTTTTTGATCGCAGGGTATATGATACCAAAAACATGGAAAATTTTTTTGAAAAATTCCATTTTGACATTTGACTTTTTTATGTCTATTTAATATATTACAGTTGGAGACAAAATACTTTGGTCGTCAATGTCACTTGAATGACATTAAATTGTAAAGCATGCTTTAGGACTGTTAACCATAGTTGACAAGTTGTATGTACATATTTTTGATAGGAAAATATAATAGCTGTCATTAATTTGAAATTGTCATTCATTTTAACGTTAAAGCTTGAATTACATTAAAGTGTCAGAAAAGTGACGACCAAAGTATTTTGTCTCCAACTGTACCACCAATGATCTTGAATATATTTTTTCATAATTATTCAGTAAAAATACAAAAACTTTGCCAATAAAAGCCACGAATCACGTTAATAGCCCCTAGTAAAAAATATTTAGGGCCTTGAATAAAATGTTAAAAAAAATTATCTATAAAAATTTGCATAAAATTTTGCAATTTGACCTGTTCGAAAAATAATTTTCCAAGTTTTTTTGCTACAGGCTATAAGAGGAAACAAGGAAGCTGTATCCTAAATTGTAACTCTGTTTAATATTATTTGTGGATTTTACTGGCCAAATTTTTGTACCTCTACTAAATAATTGTATAAAAAACATATCATCAGTATCATTAAATAGATATAAAAAAATGTCAAATGTCAAAAATAAATGTCAAATTTTTTTGACAGAATTTTTTTTTACCAGGAACATTTTTTCCATGTTCCTGGTATCTTATCTTACTTGAAATTTTTCTCTGCGGCGCGAGCTCTAGCGCACCCCCTGTATGTATGAATAATATTTTTATCAATTTTCAGTACATTATCACTTGTAACAAAACTATTTAATAGTGTAAATATAAGCTGTTAGTGTTATCTATGACCTAAAATCTTGAATTTGTCATAAACGGAAAAGAAAACGAAATATTAACAAAGTTCGTTTACTTTTTTAATGTTTTAATGTTTTTTTACGTGCCAAATTTTCAATATAAATTTATTAAAATAAAACGAAACTGATAAATTATCAAACCTTGAAATTTGTCCTTTTTAACTAAATAAAGCACTTAACAGAATAGTTCCGATAAATGACGCAGTTTAAGAAACTTTACATTTTATTATAATTAATTTTAAAAAATACCCTAGGTTTGAGAAAATTCTACTTAAAAATTTTCATTTTGCCAAAATATTTCACCCTCCGCCACGGATATCTCTACAAGGTCGCTCAGTTTTATCAGCACTTAACATTAAACAGAATCTCATCTCCGGTCACATGAACCAAAAATGAACAATTGCAACAATCAAATGTTACAATCACAAACATTGTTATCGTTAGGAAGTCTTTTAAATAATTATTAATTGTTATGTCTGTTGCAGTAATTGTAGGAATTTGAAAAAAAAAATAAAATTGCGTTGCCCATCAGAATCACATGATAGACCGTTTCTATAAATATTTGAATGTGCATTATGAATATAGAACACCTACAATAACATTGAAAAGCGCAAGCAGCTGTAATTATTTTCGTTTGCTCAATGTTTGCCCCAAATTAAACCCAAAACTGTCTTGCATGAATGAATTTTTCGAAAATTTCGCAATCAGAAATCAAATAAACCATTTTTATCCGCCTCCCAACGTTCCTGTTACATAAAGGTCGTTTTTTCCAATTTTCCACAGCACTTACTTTGTCGTATCTCTCCAATTCCATGCATAACAACTTGTAAAAACCTACCTGACACCGGCAAACAATATCAACAGTTTCGGCCAACATATCGACAACCTTCCCTTTGCCTTCGTCACCCCATTGGGCCCCTAGAATCACGATAACTTTGGATTCGTGGTCACCGCGAGGGACTAAACGGGCCCTCTTTCGAGGGGAGCCATTCACTCCGTTGACTTCCACGCCACTCGCCATTTCTTGCACTTCGAGCAACACCACAAAGACACTGAAGAGGAACTGACGTGCGTCACTGAATGGATTTTAGGAGAAACGCGCTAAATCGAGGATTCAGGGTTTCGCGTTTGCGCTTTGGTTTCGACATGGGCGGAGAATAGAGCACGAAGATGGGGTTTCAAGCAACAATTTAGTGTTTTTAGCGGGGCCAAGTTGAAGAATTTTAATTAACTCGAGTAAACTAGCATCAAATCTAAAAAACAACTACTAATTATTGATTAGAGTATTAATTACATTACCACAACTTAATCAAACATTACTCATTTCAGTTTTCAACATTTTATAACCTTCAAATGTCAAGACGTCAAATCACCAAACTGAGAAATTTTTTTTGCTATTTTGCCAATCTTATAAATTCAAAGGTTTATTTCAGGTAAAAACAATAACTCGAAAAAATGTTTTATTGTAAAAAATTAAAGTAGTTTCAATGAAATACAATCTAGGTTCGTCGTCGAAATCTAAATGTCCAGATCTCACAAAATACTTTCAGTTAATAAAAAATGTAAAAATTGTTACACAGAATTTCATTTTACAAAGAAAATACAAATTAAACTTAACTCGAGTAAAATAGCATCAAATCCAAAAAGCACCTACTAATTAGAGTATTAATTACATAACCACAATTTATTCAAACATTACTTATTTCATTTTATAACCTTCAAATGTCAAGACGTCAAATCAACAAACTAAGAATTTTTTTGCAGTTTTGCCAATCTTATAAATTCAAAGGTTTATTTCAGGTAAAAATAACTCGAAAAAATGTTTTATTATAAAAAATTAAAGTACTTTTAATGAAATACAATCTAAGTTCGTCGTGGAAATCTAAATGTTCAGATCTCACAAAATACTTTCAGTTAATAAAAAATGTAAAAATTGTTACACAGAAATTCATTTTACAAAGAAAATACAAATTACGACATCAGTGGGTGGTGATGATGGCCAGAGCAGCAATGTGGATGTCCATTAGACTGACCAGGTTTTTTATTATTCACATTTGGGGTTGTTGAACTTGCTAATCGCTTATTAAATTTACTCAGAATTTCATAAGGAAAAGTTTCATCTTGATAATCAATCGGGGAAGTCTCATCTATCTCGTAACTATAAATGTAAAATCAAAAAATGTTATTTATCTTCCCTGTTTACTTACTTCAAAGCCTTGAAGAATTTTGAATAGTGATTATTTTTAAGAATGGTTAAAATCACTTTCCTCATATTATTTTTGAAAGCTACAAGCTCTAAAATTTGCATCATAAATTTTCCTAGACCTTTTCTTTGAATTGCTGGTTCTAATTGTAATTCGTAACTGAAAATTAAGAAATGAAACATTTTGAAACTGTAAATTGTATTAAATACCAATAGAGAACTTCAATTCCTTCATCCATATCAAACCTAAAATGGGAAAAACCGAGAAAAGTACCATCTACACCCTTTGCTATCAGATACCAAGCAGCTTCATCCATCAATTCCTCCATTTTTTTATTATCATTCCAACCCCAGGAACACTGCTCATACCTAAAAACTCTAATTATCACAGTTTTAAATAATATCAAAAATTACTTTAATTGCATATTTCTTTTTGTTAAATTAAAAATCCAAGACTTGGTTGATTCATCTAAGTCAGTCACTCTTTTTATAAATAATTCAGCCTCAATCCCATTTTTATTAAACTTTCTAAATACTGGAAACGGTTCTAAAGGGTCTGTTAATTTATTTGCTTTATCCACAACAGACATCGCTAACAAAATTTTTTGTTGTTCCTCTTTGCGCTTCAACCGCTTTTCTTTGCTTTTAACCGAACTTTTTCGCTGGAAATTTCAATCACAATTAAGAAAAAACAAAGGGAAAAGCAACTTACCCCCATGATAGCACAAAATTGAATATAATTTAATTTAATACAACTTTAAAAACAAACAATAATGAGAGCTGGTATTTCTCAAATGTGGGTTATAATTGCAATTCCATTTTATAGAATTCCCACAAAACATAATTATTCCTAGACAAAAATAATTAAACTAATAAAAAGAAATTATTACATTAATTCAAAAACTTGCAACACATGTGTTAAGTTAAGTATAAAATTAAAGAATTTATTTTTGGGTGTTACAAATTTTTTATTGCGAAAAATTAAATTTGGTGAAATGGGAGTTCGGTTTAAGTTGCACCAAGTGTTTAATGTCAAACTTGTCATAAGCAGTTTATAGGTTATAATCCTCAATTAAAATCAAATAAATCCGGTTTAAGAAGTAATGGGTCGCACATTCGGCCTGGACGCATTCCTCAACCTCCATCGCGACCAACTGACCTCATCCGGAATCCCGGAAATCTATTGGAGCACCCTAAACGAAAAAATTCAAACCCAACTTTTCAATGCCGGCGAAACGTTCCAACTCCTCCAAATCGACTATGAACGTGAACGCCTGCCCCACGAGCCGGCATGGGGCCTACAAGCAATCACCGACATAGATAAGTCCGACCCCAAACACATTTACTTAATCGATCATGCATGGACATTTCGAGTGAGCCACGCGAAAAATCAACTCCTCCAATTCGACTCTCTTCGGAGCCGTTTGTGCAATATTCTGGGTTTAAACGATAATCTACCGAAAGAGGAGGTCGCAGAGCGGGTTTTCACCGACATTTGGAAACTTTGCAACACTTATTCAATCGGAAACGCGGAAAATATCGAAGAGCGATTGCCCGTTTGGTATGTTATGGACGAAATCGGCTCGGCTGTGATGCATAGTGATACTCCGAATTGTAGAGTCGTGCCTTTTGTACACGTGGATGCGCAAATTACCTATTCATTGCTTTTCCCAATTGCGGATGTTTCAGAAGAAGAGTTTATTTTTGCGGATTTTGCTGAAGGGGTCCAGGATTTGGTCCAAAAACGGGCCGCTTTATTACCCTGGGTGCCCCACGAGTTTGACATGAGTTTCGAGCCCGAAATGCCAGGCCCGGACTACTACTTAAGCGGCCACATCAAGGAGAGTTTACCCGATTTGAGTCAGTTAAATCAATCGCAAAATAAACGCGACAAGTACAAAGTTTTCACCGAATATAGTCTCATAAAAGAATTTTTGACTGATACAAGATTCGAGTTTGTCGACGAAGAGGACAAGGCAGATATTTTGTGGCTCACGTGCCATTTTAAAGACTTTTCCAAATTGAGTGAAGCTCCTCAAAAATTCGTTAATCAATTTCCATTTGAGTACGTCATAACAGTCAAGGATTTACTCTGTTTGACTTGTCGCAAATCGGCCAAAACGCAAAACCACTCAATGGAATCCTCGAAATGGTTTCCAGTAACTTACAATCTAAGGACCGAAATTGGTAACTTTGTGAGTTACTTTCAACATCGCAAAGGTCAAGAAAATTTCTGGATCATCAAACCATACAATTTAGCCCGGAGTTTAGACATCCACATCACCGATAATCTCAATTACATAATGAGACTCCCCGCAACAGGGCCCAAAATAGCCCAAAAATACATCAGCAACCCGGTTTTGTTCAACCGACCTGAATGCGGCTCTGTTAAATTTGATATTCGTTACGTGATCCTCCTCAAAAGTGTTAAACCCCTAAAAGCGTACGTTTACAGCGAGTTTTTTGTGCGTTTTGCTAACAAACCGTTTGAATTGAAAGACTTTCACGACTTTGAAAAACATTTCACTGTGATGAATTATGAACAAAATGTCGAACTCAAACATATGCTATGCTCCGAATTTCGGATTTTTTGGGAACAACAGTACCCGAATTTCGCTTGGGAGGGTATACAAAAATCAATTTTGGGGGTCCTCAGAACCGTATTAGAGGGTGCTGTTAAGGAAGAGCCCCCTTGTGGAATTGCCCACAGTCCACAATCTCGGGCTTTGTACGCCGCCGATTTAATGCTGGAGTGGGGAGAGTCCCGAGAAATCCAGCCTAAATTGTTAGAAATTAACTGGACTCCAGATTGCAAAAGGGCATGCCAGTATTATCCAAACTTTTACAACGATATTTTCAAACTGTTATTCCTGGATGAAAGTTCGAATGTTTTTATCAAATTGTAAAAAATAGTCTATTTTTGTTAAAAAAAACAATTTATTTTGAATAAACTTATTATACATCTTATTTAAATACTTTTCCCAACAACATTATCATTAACTATCACAAAGACTTGTCCTAAATCATCGTAGTTGTAAGTCCTTTTAAGAAAAGTGTCAATTAATTTGATCCCTGAAAGGGTATGCAGGCCTGGAATAAGGGGAATTGCTTTAAATTCTAAAACTCGGCTTGAGTGTGGTGGCAAGGTTTCTAATTTTCGACCAGAAATGCCACACCAAGCCAAGCCATCTGAGTTATCCAAATACATAATTAATTCAACACTTCTTTCACTAAAAAGGCGAAAAACAAATTATCATTTCACAAATAATTTTACTTACCAATTATTAACTAGTCTGCATTTAAAGGCAAATAATTCTTCCAAGACTACGAAATTGGGTAATTCAGTTATTGATAATCTTATATCACCGTAATCAGGTCCCTGAAAAATCTTTTGTTGTAATTTTTGCACAAATCGAGTTGGGGTGGTTTAAACACTTACAAAACAGTAAAACAATTATTCAAAGAATATTTTCAAAAACATTTGCTTAACTTTGCCTAAAGTATTTGAAGAATTTTCAATCTAAATTTTAGGATTCTATTATTTTGGGATGTTAAAATTTATTATTGCTTACCATTCTTTGGAGTTGACTTGTTTGCAATCTGCCCCTCTCGCCTAAATTCGACCGCCACACTATATCCAACTTGCCAATGTTTGTGGCCCCACTTAAACTTTTCAAATCTGATGATAATTTTTCATTGGGTGATAAGCAGTACAAAAATTGGCAAACGGCTAGAGGATTTAAGAGGGTTGTTTTGCCAAAGATGCTTTCACCAGTTGGTGACACATTCAACGATGTAACTTTAAAAAAAAATAATTATTTGTATAAAAATTTGTAAAAATGAACCTTTAAATAAATGAGAAGCGTCTAGTGCGACTTTTTCCAAACAGATCGGGCCCGTCGTGATATTCTGCACTTGAGCTTCCAAATAAACATCATCGTTTTCAGCATTGTAGAATTTCGTTTTGACGTCAAGGGGCTTAAGTACTTGGATTTTGAAAAATTTCCTGAATGATTTCAGAATTCCTACAGCATTTTGATAAGACACTTCACACACCAAACTACAATTTAACCAATAGTGAAACATTGTACAAATAATTGTGAGTTTACATGTGATTTCCAATTTCTTTGACTTCATGATGGATAACAATATTGACAGTATCATCAGGAGTCAGCTGAGGAGTTGGGGGATTTGAGGATAAAGGCAATCTCTGAGAAGTAGTCTGCAAGTCAACTTTAACACTAACATTACTAACAATATGTTGAGTTTCATTGTAAACACAAATGTAGCTAGAAAAAGTCTCCCCCAAATAGATATTCACCGGACTTTGAGGTAGAAGTAAAAATTGACCTATAGACAAAGTTTCAGTGCCTTTAACTGACGCAGCGTCTTGTTGAAGAGCTACATTTAATAAATTGCCAGGCAAATCCTTGCTATCACAAGTCACTGGCAGAGGAGTGGCCAAAGTGGGGCGTGTAAGACGCATCACTAAAAACACAAAAAAATTATCAAACAAAAGGTAACCCTCTTTCACACCCTTCAAAGCCAACAGGTGCTCCTCGGGTTCCATTTTTTAGAAAACTAAAGATTTTTAATTTGGGAGGTTATTTGTTTGGATAAACGTCACTTTGACAAGTAGAGTGGTGCAAACGGCCGACAGAGGATTCGACTAAATTATTTTAACAAATTTAAGTAATTTAAAAATTATTGCTTTTAATAAATAACCGCACACTTTGCGTTCTATCATTAAAACCTTTGTTTATTATTAGTGTAGTTCAATTGGTAGTCGAGTAGACCAAACGCCCGACTAGGCGTCTGACATTTTAAAAGTGAGGTTATTGGTGAAATGTGTGAAATTAGAAATTAAACCAAACGTGATTTTTCTAAATGACTAGTGCAAAATGGGTAAACACTGCTGCTATTTTTTATTCATGTTATGGTTCTCGTACTTGATAGTATCCTCAATTCTGCTCTTTTCCCGCGGATTTCTCCTTTCTAAAAATGCCCAAACAACCAACTCCACTTGCCTCTCCATATCCGAAATTCCTTGCATTCACGAAGAATCGACAATATTACGTGTCCACGAACAACAATGTAGTGATAATACAAAATTATCGTATGTTTTTCAAAACATAAACAGCGCTTCAGACATTTGCTTGCCCCAAAAAGCACGAATTGTTTTCGTGATAATAGACGCTTTACGATACGACTTTACGCTCTACGACGAAAACATAAAAAATCCTCTACCGTTTCAAAATAAATTGCCGGTCATAAATACTTTATTAAAGCAACAACCAGACAATTCGAGATTGTATAAATTCATCGCTGACCCCCCTACCACAACAATGCAAAGACTTAAAGCTTTAACGACTGGAAGTCTTCCAACTTTTATTGATGCCGGCTCGAATTTCGCTACAAATGAAATCAACGAGGACAATATTATTGACCAAGTTAGTTACTGTCTTCCATTTTCAGATTAATTAATTTATAGAAAAATTTTAGTTGTTGAGACACAACTTGAGCACAGTTTTGATAGGCGACGACACTTGGGACGGCCTCTACCCCAATAGATTTCTCAGGAAATACCCTTATCCCTCTTTCGATGTCTGGGATTTAGACACAGTCGACGATGGGGTTAATTCCCACTTGTATCCCGAGTTATCAAATAATGACTGGAGTTTCCTAATAGCGCACTATTTAGGAGTGGATCATTGTGGCCATCGCTACGGCCCCAACCACTCTGAAATGCAGCGGAAATTAACAGAAATGAACATCGTAATTGAGTAAAAACGTTAAAATTTCTTTACAAAAATTTTCATTATTATTTCTAGGAGCATTGTGGAGAAACTTGACCCCAACACCATGCTGTTTGTCATTGGGGACCACGGAATGACCGAAACAGGCAATCATGGGGGCGACGCCGATGACGAGGTCACCTCAGCTCTCTTCGTATACTCTAAAAGACAGTTGTTGTCACTCCACTCTTTAAATACTGTTCGCCAAGTCAGTCTTGTCCCCACAATGGCGTCAATTTTCGGAGTTTCAATCCCATTTTCGAATCTAGGAACGGTGATTCTTGACGCACTTCCCGTTGTTAATAATTCGCAAATTCCTGAATGGCAATGGTCGTTATTTTATTTGTGGGGGAACGTCCAACAAATGTTGATATACATCGAAGACTACTCTAAATCAGCCCCTGAGACTTTCAGTGACTCGACTTTGAGAGAATTACGCGAGAATTACGCCCTTTTGAATAGTAAACTCTTCCACGTCAGTGATGAAACCTCATTTGCGAGTTTTTCAGAAGAATGTTTCGGTTTTTTGACAAAATTGCGCGAAACTTGCGAGAAAGTCTGGATTCAATTCGATTCGTTTTCAATGACTCGCGGTCTTTTATTCCTTTTCCTGTCAATGTTTTTCGTCTATGTGATAACAGATGGGATTCCAAATAACCGTCTCCCGGAAATTTTTATGAGTTCTTTCCTGACTTGCTCCTATTCGGTTCTATTCCTCGCAGTTTGCGCCTCAACAATCTTGTATCATTTCTCCTTCGTGACAAATCTAACATCTACGATTTTTTTTTCAACCGGACTTGTCTCCCAATTCATGTTAGGAATGTTGGTCATCCAAAACTGGGAATTGATAAGTCTCAACTGGTATGACCGGAGTAAAAAAGAGCGAATTCCGAATCTGATTTGTCGTTTAGTCCTCGTCTTCCACTTGTGTGGCCTTTTTTCCAACAGTTTCGTCGTTGAGGAATCATCAGTTCTGCTATTTTTACTCACTACTGTCATACTAATCGGAAGTTTGAGTGTGGGACAGGGTGAAACAAAGAAAAAAATCCCTAGACCGAAATTGAGACTACTGTTGATCGCGTTTGGGATGTTGGTTCTAGTTCGATTTTCCATGTATTTCTGGCGGTGTCGAGACCGTTTAGAGCAACCTTGGTGTTACGAAACTTACAACTCTTTTACCTCAAAAGCTGAAACTTCGAAACTGCAGTGGATCATCACTCTTATCACTTTGGCCCTTTTTGTGACAATCACCAAAGTTTGGTTGCGTAATTGTGGCAATTTGAACGGTTATAACCTCACGGTTATTGTCCTTAAATACGTACCGACGGTTTTGGTCGTGTGCACTAGCGGTTTTTGGGTTCTCAACCGACTTCCTGGAGACCCGAGAAATAAAGCAATACGACCATGGCAAGCTAATGTTTTAGCGTGGACCGTCTATGGTCTCACTTTTGCTGGAATTTTGACCGTGGTTTTAAAACCACTCTGTGTTTACATTTTACCTAACGAAAAGACAGTCGAGGGGCAAAATATTATCCCCCATTTGTTCCACAAAGTGAAGAAACTCTTCAATGAACCAAACCAGGATGATGTTCCGATTTTGTGCGGCCTTGGAACTGCATACAGTGCTGTTTTTATCTCAATTGGAATTTTTTTGACCCATTTGTTTGCTCTACTTCATGGAGATGGTGTGGCGCCGGCAACTGTTATCATGTTTCTTGCGTCGGCTTTTGTTTTGATAATCACCTCGATAATCCGACTTGAAAAAGCCACTACTATGGGTAAGTCGAATATTGTGTCAATCAAAAAATAAATAAATTAGAGTAGGCGATGATTAATATTCTACAGTTGGCAACAATTTTTGCAAGAAATTTTTCACACAAAATTTTGACATTTATTTTTTGGCATTTGACATATTTATGTCTAGTTAATGATACTGAAGATCTTGTATATGTTTTTTTTACAATTATTTAGTAAAGGTATAAAAATTTTGCCAATAAAAGCGACAAATAATATTGAACAGAGTTACAATTTAGGATACAGCTTCTTTGTTTCGTCTTCTAATAGCCTGTAGCAAAAAAACTTGAAAAATTATTTTTCCAACAGAAATATATAAAGTCAAAATGCAAAATTTAAACTCTCATAACTTCTAAATTTTTATAGATAAAATTTTATTAACATTTTTTCCATGACCCTAAATATTTTTTACTAGGAGCTATTAACGTGATTCGTGGCTTTTATTGGCAATGTTTTTGTATTTTACTGAATAATTATGAAAAAATATATTCATCATCTGTGGTACAGTTGGAGACAAAATACTTTGGTCGTCACTTTTCTGACACTTTAATGCAATTCAAGCTTTAACGTTAAAACGAATGACAATTTCAAATTAATGACAGCTATTATATTTTCCTATCAAAAATATGTACATACAACTTGTCAACTATGATTGACAGTGGCTAAAAATAAGGTTAACAGTCCTAAAGCATGCTTTGCAATTTAATGTCACTCAAGTGACATTGACTACCAAAGTATCTTGTCTCCAACTGTAACATATTAAATAGACATAAAAAAGATCAAATGTCAAACTGGAGTTTTTCAAAAAAAAAAATCCATGTTCTTGGTATCATATACCGTGCGATCTGGGCTGGAAATTTTCCGCACAAACTGAAAGTGAAAATGACCATTCATTTCATCGTGTACAGCATTTTTGTAATAACTTGCAACAATAAAAATTTTCTGCTCTAAAGCGAACAGTATTTCATTCAAAATGAATAAAACTCAAACTTGTCAAAGTTTCCGCTGACATTTAAAGTCAAAAATCAGAGTTGCCATCTGAAGGACTTTAATCACCGCCTACTCTAATTTATTTATTTTTTGATCGTACTACATTTTTTCTATTCGTATTAAATAATATCATAAGTCTCATCAAGAGTGTTTCTGAAAATGTTGTGGATGCTACCCTTGAGTTTATTGTAGAAAAAAAATTGGTTTTAATTTAATCAATATTTAAATCAAGACCAATTAAAAAATTGGCAGATTTGACAGATAATGAAGTCACTATTCAAGAAATACGTTTAGAAATTTCCAGAGCACTCTTGACCAGATTTTTATTTAGACTCATTAATCATTATGAATTGGTAATTTGCAACAGTGACCTAATAGGAAAGATAATTTTTTCAATTTTTGTAAAGACTTGTTATTGCTTAATTTTGAAATTTTAAGTTTTTTTCGGATTTTAAATTAAATTTGATAATGAGAATTTAGACTCATCAAAGCTATTTGATATTTTTTGTTCACGTTTCCATGACAGCATTTAAAAAAACTTGGTATCTGATTGATTACCAACTGTTGAATAATTAAAAATTATTGTTTTGATTGAAAATGTAAAGTCGGCCATAGTGGCCACTTCCCTGTGTAAATTTGTAGAAATTGAGTTGTGTAAATCCGACTTTAAACATCCAATTGTTTTTTTAAGGACATAGTTATCAAAAATAAAATGATTTTTTCTATTTTGCGTTTAGAATGAGTCTATTCTTTAATAAGTCGTTGGCGTTAATTTTTCCACATAAATGATGCCAACTGTCACAAAATTCTCTAGAAAAAAAATTAAAATTTTCGTCTTAATTTATAAAATGATATAAAGCACTTTTTGCATCTTCTTCAACTTGTACTTTAATATACTATTTTTAGAACAACTTTTCGAAATTCCGAACATGTCCCTCCTGGTGTGGGTGATTCTGGCCCAGTATTTTTTCTACGGGACGGGCCACCAACCCTCCTTCCCCAACATAATCTGGGAGGCGGCTTTCGTGGGAACTTCGGGTGTTTTCAGCCACAATTATATCCTCGGAAGTTTGATAATTTTGAACACATTTTGTTCGCAAATTTTGGTGGGATTTCTGGTGCCTCTGCTGATTGTAATGCCGTTTACGTTGTCGGTCATGTTGCCAACTTCCATTAACCGAAATATCCTTGAAAAGGAGAATTTGAGAGGAGAGGTTTTGTTGTATGAGCGTGATGGTTTGATGATTACGGTTGTATTCTCCACCATTTGCAAGTATATGATTTGTCACGGGATTAGGGTGAGTTTTGTAATGGGTTGGGGTCATTTTAATGATGTCTTTTTTAGGTTTTTGCGACAATGTTGGCAGCGACGATTCACTGCAGGCATATGATGATTTGGAAAATTTTCGCGCCGAAATTGATTTTTGAATCGATTGGGATGTTTGTGACTTTGGTTGTGCTTAATTTAAGTTATTTGGTGCTTCTGAGGATTAATTTTAAAGTGGATCAACTGATAGTGTCATTGAATAAAAGGTGTAGATAATAAATTATTTATTTGAGTGTGACAATGGAAAGAAATTAAAGTGCTAATTATTATAGACGTTATACTATAATTTTGAACTCACAATAGGAAAATGTTACTATTAATGACTCACTCAGGTTTGTTATTCATTTAGACATTGTAATCGCAGCAATAATAGTCGACTTTTAGTTAATACTTCAATAAGAAAATGCATATAATCGAAAGAATAAATTATAAGCTTTAGTTTTGTGTACTGCTAATAATCTAGTCGAAAAAGACTTTTAATGTTTTGTTTATTGTCTTTTTGCTTTTTGATGTAATAATTGTCTTTCTGTGTTTCTTGATAGTATTTTGTTTTGATGTTGAGGATAAAATATGTTTTGCAGAAAATGTTAATTACTTATTTATATTTTTTGACAATAAAAGTGTGTTTCTATTTACGTATTTTATTTACCTGCTATATCGGTTCTTCTAGTAAAAGAATATACCATACCAGCTGTCGGCAAATAATTTTTAGGTTTTGCCACTAATTTAATTTTTTTAATTAATACTACCGGCGGCCATTTTTTTTGAGCACCGTTGCCGGCAGTGGAAGTACTACCAAAAAAATAATTGGAGATTTTTTTATGATGCAGTTTATTTTACCAAATTTAAGTAGGCTCTAATTCGAATTTCAATTGTTTTGACAAGTGACATTTAATTGTTAAAAACTTAATAAACATTTTTGGGAAAATGGAAGATACAAAGTCTCTCTTGATGATGGTTTTACATAAAGTCTTTCAGAATCAACCCAAAACTATAGAAAACACTTTCCAACTGATTCACAGTTACAATAATGGAAAAACAGATAAGAAAAATTATGAGAAGGTGAATTAGAAATCACAGTTTTAATATGAGTGTTTAAATCACAATTTTCAGACTTTAAAAGCAATTTGCGACTTGATGAACGATGAATTGCCGTCACCAATATTAGTTTACATTCTGACTCTAGTGGACATGCCTCAGGATTTCGACTCTTCGTCTCCCATTATAGAAAAAATGAAAAAAACTCATGACTTTTTGCCTGAAATCAAGTACACATCTTAATTAATTATAATTTTTATATTAAATGAGACAATATTTTAGTGTGCGGCCTCATTTGCTGGAATACCTAAACAACATAAAACCAACAATCAAAAACCGTAACATTGAAAAAGCCGAAATCTCGGAAAAAAGTAGCAGTAATCCTGCCGAACCTGATAAAATCTCAGCCAAACCTCAATCAAACTTCGTCAGACCGACAAGAGTTTTGAAAAGAACGCGAAAATTTGTTCCAAAAATCACTGGTAAATTTAAAAGTTATTGAAACATTTGGCACAATTTAGGTTTAAGGTTCCCCCAAAAGTCTCCTGGATATTTGTGCCACCTACGTTGTCCAAAACGAGTTTTCCCTCAAGGGGATGTACCGAAAAAAGCAGTCAAATGCCTGGCGTTTGATTAACGCCAATGTGTTTCTGGGCCCCAAACTCAAGCAGTGCTACAACGTCGTCAAGGATTTGAATAAGAAAATGCGTTGGTTGCGTGAGATCGAGTCTGATAACATTTCCACCGACACACTCATGGAAGAGTACAAAACAAGTGACGTTTTTCTCAAGGAAAACCACATTTATGAAGCTTTACAAAAGGATCCGTTTGAATTATCAGAGGAATGTGAAGCCGCGATTGAGTCTTTGCTGGATTAGAATTACTTCAATTTTAAATTTCGTGCCATTTCGAGTGATGTTGGCAGCATTTTTCATCTTGTTATTGATTGTAGTTGTGATTGGTTGAATAAAAACTTATTTACCAATAGGAACACATTTGGGACATTCGAAAAGATGGCTGCGTTGCCGTCACCGACACAGGTACGATTCGGGAATTTTATCCCGATTTTGTGATATTTTACCAAAATTTGAGTTTGTAAAAAGTTACATTGGTGTGTATTTAGTGCCCCATTGTGTTGTTGCGTTTTTGAAATTCTGAGTGAGCTAAATTTTACGCTAAAACGATTTTTCTTATCACGTCTCGACAGTGACAGTGGGCGGTGTTAAAGCATAATATTTTTATCAATAATTTATAATCATCATAATAACGATTAGGAATCAGAAGGAATTGAGTTTTCCTGTAAAAAATTGCACGATAATAATACAATTCATCTGTTGAATGTCGCACATTTTGGCACACCCCGAGTTTTCGTAGAAAAAACTGACAAATGTCAGTGTGATCAAAATTCCGAAAAGATCAATTAAAATGCATTAATTCGTGCGTATAACTGTTTTTGTAAAGTTCGTATAGCACCAAAGCATAAAAAAATGAAATTCGTTGAGTCTTAAGTTGGATTTTAATATTATGCTCGTTCATCGTGTGTTTCAGGTGGCTGGAAACCACAGTGCCATATATGAGGCTTATTACAATGTGGTAAGTGCCAATTTCAATCAAAACCTATCAAAATTACGTAACAAAGCATGCAAGGACAAATCAATAAATTCCTCTTGAAAAAGCGTGAACGTATTTTTAATTTTTAAAAAGAGTACAGTGGACTTTTTGTTCCAGGTGGACCCCAATGGGTTTGGTACGGTGGGTGGCATGGAAGCCGCGCGATTCCTTAAACGATCCGGACTAAGCGACGTAATCCTCTCAAAAATTTGGGATTTATCAGATCCCGGTGGACGAGGCTGCCTTGATAAATCGGGCATGTTTGTAGCTTTAAAATTAGTCGCTCTTGTACAAAACGGTAGAGATTTATCCGTATCGAACATAAATGTGGACGTGCCTCCTCCAAAAATGGGAGACATTCCTTTACCCAAACCTGTAAAACCTCCACCTCCTAGCAATTCTCCTTTAATTACCTCTTTACCTCCAAGTGCAGTCGATTGGACCGTCAAGCCCTCAGAAAGGGAGAAATACGACAAATTATTCGACTCTTTACAACCAACAAACGGACTAATTCCCGGCAATAAAGTAATTCGTCTATTTACATGCACGTCATATTTTAATTGTATTAATTCAAGGTGAAAAACGTTCTATTAGATTCAAAGTTACCGTTCGAGACTTTGGGAAAAATCTGGGATTTAGCCGATCAAGATAAAGACGGAATGTTAGACAGACACGAGTTTATTGCAGTAAGAAAAATTACGATTTTTGGGTAAAGTACACACTATATTTTTCTAGGCCATGCATTTAGTTTACAAAGCCCTTGATAAGTTTGCAATACCGAATACTCTTCCTCCCGAGCTAATGCCGCCCGCAAAAACGAAAAACCATCCTCCACTAGTGGCCCCCTTGCTGTCTAAAGGCTTGGACGGCGTGAAACCCGACATTCCACCGCCCCCGGCGGCCGCAGTAGCAGCCCCCAAGCCCGTTCAAAGTGTCCAACCGACAATCCCCTGGGTGGTAACACCCGATGAAAAAGCCAAATCCGACGCCCTTTTCATCAAAAGTGACATCGACAAAGACGGATTTGTCTCAGGACAAGAAATTAAAAACGTTTTTCTTCAATCCGGTGTACCCCAACCCGTTTTAGCCCACATTTGGTAAAACACTAAACAAGGGGTGCAAATTTGTTTATTGACGTTTTGTAGGGCTCTATGTGATATTAAACAAAGTGGGAAACTGAATAATGAGCAGTTTGCTTTGGCCATGTGGTTCGTGGCGAGATGTTTGAAGGGGGTTGAACCACCGACTGCACTTACACCAGACATGGTGCCACCCAGTTTTAGGACTAAGGCGGCCGATGGATTGGTGGTAAGTTTTATGTGGCTGTGCGGACGATTTTCCGACGGAAAAAGGCCTTGACGAAGACGTATAAAATGATGGAAAAGATTAAAACGGCACCGATGAGCATGATGTGGTGGTTGAAGTCGAGCGAAAATTTTTTCTCGACGACGAGGCGCACCGTACCGGCGAGGTCTTTGTGCTGCCAACAACTGAAAAAAAGTTATTTGTTCGAAAGCAAATAACCACGAATCACATAAATAAAAAAAATCAACGACTATTGGTTGTTTTTGCTAATTTAGATTTTTTTATTTTTGGTTTCTCTGGAGAATAACAAAATGTTATCATACACACTTTAATGTATTTATTATACCGTACAGGTACAGCTATTTACTGGATTATAAAAATAATCATTTTTCGAGTTGTTTTAAAAAATAGGTATTAAAATAGCAGTTTTTCATCGGTCTATGACCAATTATTTTAAATTTCAGATTTTTTTACTTTCTCCGGTTATCTCATTAACTTCATGAACCCCTCATAAAATCTCGTACATTTTTGATAATTTCAAAGCATTCTTAATATGAAGTAGTCATTGTCTATTACTTATTTAGTGACATAATAGGCATTTAAAAAAATAAATTAAGAAAATAAAATAGTAATATAATGAACAAAGAAAAATAACAAGAAATAATAAAAACAAAAGCAAACTAAATAATACGTACGATAGCTAACAAAAGTTATTATTTTTTGTAATAATATGCTTGAAAGCAGTTTTTCTGTTTGCCTTAACAAAGAGACACTCTACAAGTTACACACTGCCAATTACTTCGAGATTCTTGTTCCTTGGTGTTACATAATGCAAGTATCAACGAATTAGAAAAAAATGCAGTGCCACCATTTGACTTTTTCAATTGAGTACAGTGACGGACAGTGAATTTTGTCCAACCAATTTCCATGACAGAATAAAAGTGTCAATTAGTCTTTAGGTTTTTCTAACCTTGTTTGAGAACTTTGATGAACATTTCTTACATACCTGTGCTTTGTCTTACATTGCTTGAGGTATAGTACCAATTTTTAGATTGGAAATCCGGTCCAAAATGAATAAGAATTTAATTAAACTTGACAGTGTCAGTTATCATGACAATAAAGCACAGGTTACAGTGAATTTTTTTGAATTCATAGAAATTGGGTGGACGAAATGCACTGTCCATCACTGTACGTTATCAACTGATCAAATTTGTGAACAAAGTTCATGTTATTGTTGTAATTTTCCACAACATCAGGACATACCACTCATATCTCAAAAAACTAAGAATAATACGAAATACAGTTAGTAAAAATGCAAAATTTTATCAATGTAATGTTAAGCGAAATTGGTTACCTAAATAGGCTGGAAATGCTCAATGACGTCACAAAGCCTATACAGTATTCACGCTGGTGTTGCCGCTAAGCCATAAACCGTACCCTTTGTAAATCTTCATAATCACCTTCAAACCGAACGCTCGTGTCTGTTTCTTTTGTTGTGAAAATGGAGGGTTTTCGGTACCTACTCAATATGTCTATCCTTGTTTTTCCATGTCAGTGTATGTTGTCGGAGTAAGAGGAAGATAGTGACGTAAAACTTTCAAATGAGAAACAGAATTCCGGATCAGTGGAAACAAAAATGTAAACTCAAATTTTAAAATTTATTTAAAAATATTTAACAAATATTCGTTTTATAAAATGAAATAATAAAAATACGATACATGGACCTAATATCCTACGGCTAATAATAATTATGTATGAGAATATTTTTCGCAAGAAGTGTCGTCACCCAACCCAAATCGAGGGCGAAATGTTTTGGGTGCACTGGTACCTGTCACCCTCGGCTTCGTTATATTGCTTAGCGGCAACACTTACGTGAATACAGAATACTAGTCGAAATAGGAAAGTATTTGTCTGATAAACCCAAGTTTCGAAATTCTAATCTCAATGAAAGAAATTTTTGTTTTGTTTTGTTTTTTTCCTCTTTGTATTTATAATAATCATTATCCATTATGTGTATATTCTCAAAAAACAATTCAATTTTAGAAAAATGTAGGTATTTCAAATAATTTTAAGTTCATTGATTGTAAATAAAAAATGTGGTAAACTCTACAAGAATAATATCTGTATTATTAAAAATATTACCGTTAATGCGCAAAACTGCTCAAAAATATAAATTAAGGTGGGTTAAAATTTAACCCACCACATTTTTGGCCGAATCGGTACGGTAGGTCCCTGAAAGAGTTAAAGTATATTTTTAAAGGAAAATTTCTGTCGTATCCTAAACATTAAGTGAATTCCAGAACCGTGGTGTCCAGAACAAACAAAATGTATTCATATTACTTTCTCATTCTAAATTTACTAAACTCACAACATAAAAATCATAAACATTTTTCTTATTTTGTTTAGTTTATAGTAAAAAAGAAATCATAAAAAAATACTTAACAGCAGTACTCATAAACAGTTAAGGCATTTTTTGCTTAAATTATTAAAAATGAGTGGAAAATTTTACTTAAAAAGTCCTTGAACCTATAAAGTTATTGAGATTTTTTGCGATAATTAAGCAGTAGGTGCGGTAAGCGTTTCGTAAATATTTAGTTTTTAAGGTAAATTGAAATTTTAATGATGTGGTTTGGACAAAAAAAAATCCAACAACGTTTACAACCTTTGTTTAGCGGATTTTTTTTTATATGCTTAAAAGTATTGCAGCTCAATGAAACTCATTACCTATAAATATTCGAGTCCGAAATTTTTGCGTCTTTAATGTGAATCTTATCAGTTATGCTGATATAAATCCGGCCTTTAGTTTCCGCTACCAAAAGTTCGGGGACAAGTTTTTTCGACCCAATTTGCCATTGAACTGGAACATCTGAGTTTAAATTTCTGCAAAAATGTGGTAATAACATCTCCGATTTTTTTTCTTTGTGTGATATTACCCTGGACATGCCACCACAATTTTTTTTCCTTTTTCCCCAAATTGCAACAACCTTTCAACTGACGGTTGTACCGATGGTATTCCTTGCAACATTGAATAAATTCCAGCCGAATTATTCGCACGTTCGATAACATTCCCATCTTTATCGCGGACTTCGAAAACTTTATCTTCAGGACACTTTATCTATAAAAAAAATTACAAAGAAATTTTTATTCAAATTATTTTACCTTGCAAAAGCCAGTCATAATTTCATTTTTCCGTTCAGTAACATGTCGCAGTTTTCTCAGAGAGTGTGGTAAAACATGCGAACTACACGGAATCCCAAATTTGAAAATCCGCAAAAATTCATAATGTTCTTCCGTTATTGAAACTTTTTCTTCTTCTTGGGTGGTGTTAGTATTGTTATTGGTAACATATTTTGCAACATTTTTCTCGTATTTAACAATGCAGTAACCTAAGCGATGTCTTCGCCCGATTTGGTCGCATTTACTACACGACGTCCACGGCGTCCATTCCGTATCCACAATGAGGTTATAACCGGTGATAACTTCCGGTTTTTGCGGGTAGGGACCTGCCGGTGCTTCCAGAGAGTGGACCTAAACGAGAATTAAATTTATAACACAAGGCGACAGAAAAAAGTCATGTCGTGACAACTTGACAAATTTTATATCATTTTGTTCGTCTCTGTAAGACAAATCAAATGCACTAAAAAATTCAAAAAGTCCACACACTTTGTAAGTCCAAATTTGTAAAATAATATACCGAGTAGTTTTCAAGATATGATTTTTTGAAGTTATGGTTTGTTAATCAAGCATTGGTCCATATAGGAAAAATGCATGTTAATCTTACTTAAAATTGCATTTTTATAAAAGTATTTGTTTTAAGACTCTTCTTTTGCTTAAAAATGGTCAATTGCATCTTCTTTGTTCTAATTACAATAAACAAAAACTGTTTGTTTACTTAAAACAAATAAAGAGTACCTGCGTACTAATTAAAACAAATAATGATTTTTTTTGTTCTAAAAATGATCACTGATCATTGAGCAAAAAGGATGTAGAAGTTTAAAGCAGTAGCTTTAAATATAAGAACAAATCTTTCCATTCAGATTCCAACTTGTTCACTTTGTTCTAGCTTTCTGAACTTTTTTTTGAAAATGTTCTCAGCAAATGCTTTCTTATGTTGATGTTGAATGCAATAAGTCAGTTGCTTCTTGTGCAACTGTTATCACAACAACTACTACCTACAAGCTAACTGAAGATAATCGTAGAATGTACCAACAAAATAAATCAGGTGACTTATTGCATTTAAYATCACTCGAAARTGATGAGAAARCATTTGCTYAGAACATTTTCAAAAAAAGTTCAGAAAGMTAGRACAAAGTRAACAAGTCRAAATCWGAATGRAAARTGATTTGATTTGAWAAAGATTTGCCCTTATATTTAAGACTCGTGCCTTAAACTTCTAGATCCTCTTTGCTCAATGATCAGTGGTCATTTTTACAACAAAAAAACTCTTTATTTGCTTTAATTAGTACGCATGTACTCTTTATTTGTTTTATGTAAACAAACAGTTTTATTTATTGTAATTAGAACAAAGAAGGTTCAATTCACCATTTTTAAGCAAGAGAAGAGTTTTAAAACAAATACTTTTACAAAAATGCAATTTTAAGTAAGATTAACATGCATTTCTCCCACATGGAGCAATACCTGAACAGCAAACTATAACTTCAAAAAATCATATCTTGAAAACTACTCGGTATATTTTTTTGAAAATTTGGATTACAACTAATAAAGAGATGCTCGCTCTACACGATGGTAATGATGGAAAAAAAATTACTCGTAAGGATTTTCTTAGATTACTTCGATTTACTTCGAATTTCTTCGAACACTGTTCGAAGAAAAGTTTGCCAATATTCAATTTCAAATTTTATATCATTCTAAAAGACAAGGTCATCCATTTAGAATGGTCTTTATTTGAAGGAAATCGGCCTAAGAGTTATTGAGTAATGATTTTTGAAGTTAAAGTATTTTAAATTCATTTAAATTAGAAAAAAAATATTTTGTTCAAAGTGTGTGGACTTTTTGAAATTTATTTAGCGCATTTGATTTGTCTCACTGAGACGAACAAAATGGTCAAGTTGTCACATGACTTTTTTTTTGTCGCCTTGTTTTTTCCATACTTCTCGCAGATCCTCGTCCTGGGGGTCTACAACTGTGAGGAAATAAGGAGCCGATTCCGCTTTACCAATCCGGCAAATGTATTGTCCCGTCTGTCCTTTATGCAAATTGTAAATGTCAAGTGATCTGTCAGTTGGTGATAATAGGATATTTTCGGTGTAGTCCACCGGTTTTAGTTTGGTTGTCTCGTTTCCAGCCCAAAACCATTCAACTGAGTCAATCTTGACGATTTCTTGAGGACTCAAACACAATTTACATTCAAGTCTTATCGAACCGGATTCGACAACTTGCACAGCTTCGGGAGTGACAGAAATGTCGTGACCGAGATTCGAATTTTGCTCTTCCAAACACGCATAATAATCATTCCATTTGTCTTTATTTATCTGGCGATATTTTTCATTCGTTCCGGGATATTCCGTCAAATCGAAGCCTAAAAAGTGCCAAGATTTGTCTTTTCCGAATTTTTTCTTGTATGCTTCTTTTGTTTTTTGTTTGAGTTTTTTCAGAGCACTGCTAAATATCGCCTCACTGTGCGCTAAAATTACAATCAATAAAAAGCATTGAAAGTACATTGTGTCAAATGTGAAATGTGAAAAACTTTAGGTTGGTTTTTGTTTCAGGAGAACAATAACACAAGATACTCTAATCCAGAACTTGATATGATCAGTAAAGATATTGAAGAATTGGCACGGGAAAAATTAGCATTGGAAACGGATATTGCACAAAAGGAAGCTGATATTAAAATAAAAAGTGGCGAGATTAAAAGCTTGCAGGTTGGTCTCGTTTTCTAGCATTTGTCAAAATTCTGACAATTTTTTTTTTCAGAGTGAACTTGACACCTTGGCTGCCACGTTGAAACAATTGGAAAATCAGAAAGGGGAAGCCCAGAAAAGATTAAATGATCTCAGGGCCCAGGTAATGACGTTTACAAAATAAGTGCTTTGCTGAGCTTGTGTTGCGTTTGATTGCTAGAATTAACGCTTGCACTTGTGATGGAATTTACATAAAGCATGTCTGTTCCTTTTTAATTTTTAATCGTATTTGTGAATTCTTCACATAAATCGGCTTTTTGCCGTTAACTTGAGTTGTAGGGCATTTTACTTAGATTAGTGTGGCATGTTGCCTTTTTTATTACTAGGGTTCTGAGGTAGAGAGGGAAATGGAAATGGTCTGTAAAGAAATCGAAGAAGAGACCATCAAGGTAAGTGTGTTTTTCATTTGATTTATTTACGTGAGTTTGCTGAGCTATGCAATGGTGGTAGTTGATGTTTGCGTAAACCTTCAACGATTCAAGTTTTATCCTCACTAAACCGAAATTTAGCATTTTTTTATTTTCTTCGTAGTGGAGTAAAGACCGTGCAAAAACGTAACAATTTTTTTTTGTCGTAGAATTATATAAAACTGATGAGACACGTAATGGCCATTTACGACTTTCCTAATTGGGGATGACTTTAGATTTAAAAAAAAAAATTGTTAAAAAAAATGGTTCACAAAAACTGGCTTTTTTATAAATACATATATCTTAATATTTCAGAAACCGTTATAGATAATAACGAGATTTTTGTTTTGTTGAAAAGCAGTATGATGAGCGCTTCTTAGACTGTTACTTAGGTTTACTATACTTTGTTATAATTTATTATAAATAAAGAATGTTTTAAAATACAAAATCAGTGTTGGAGAAATTTCATTAAGTGAGAAACTTTTTTATTTCTAAACATTTTTATATAATTCTTGTCAGTAAATAGAATAGTATACAGGGTGTTTCACATAATTTTACGAGGCCTGCACCTGTAAGATACAATCAACAATACATATTCCCATACGAACTCGATTACAAATATTGAAAAATTGGATAATCTTCTCTAGTTTGTTCACCCTTTCAAAAATTACAACATTTTTAGTTAGTTAGTGATTAAGATAGAGAAACTAGAATCATATTAATGCCGTCTCTTGATAGAACAAATGATAATTGTTTCTGAAAAACTGCAGTTTATGACTATTACTGACTATTAACAGTGATTAGTTTGACAACTACTGTAATGGGTTTCCAAAGAATAAATAATTAAATGTGTATTTTTTGTATCTAGTGTTTTGTGAATTTTGAATATTTGAGTGCGGACGTTAGGCACAAGCCTCGTAAAGTTGTATGAAATACCCTGTATTAAAGTACAGCGTGGTTATAAATGATTTTCATCTAGCCAGCTGTGAATTTTCCATGTAAAATAAAAAATGCCGCTTTACGAAAATAGGGGTACCTACTTGTTTTAACTCAAAATTAAAAAATCGCCGTTTACTAAGCGTCCACTTCGAAAATAGACTTCAATTATAAACTTGTTTTCTTCCAAAGTATACATCATTATCAATTATTATTGGAAATTAGTTGAAACAGTGAAAGTTTAATTAAGAACCATTTATTATTAATTAATAAGTGACACTAATGACAGAACTAGAGCTTTCAAAAAAGTAGAGCGGCACAAATAAAGTTACATGCAAAAAAATTCCAAAGCTGGCTAGATGAAAATCATTTATAACCACTCTGTACAAGTTGCAGAAGGTTCTGCAACAAGCGCAAGTTTGAAATTCCGAAACGAGTTGAGGAACAAATGAGTGCTTGAAGAACCTTCTGCAACAAGTGCTTTATAGTATATTTTCTATTTTATCATTTTATAAATTAAAAAACGAAACTTTTACTTTTTTTTTCTAGACAAACCTTCTGCAACAAGTGCTTTATACTATATTTTCTATTTTGCCACTTTATATCATTTTATAAATTAAAAAACGAAACTTTTACTTTTTTTTCTAGACAATATTCAGATAGTTGTAACAATAAATGTATTTGTACGAAAAAAGGCCTTAAATGCAGTCTGGAATGCAACTGTACAAACTGCAACAATAGTTCTATTGCCAATAATATAAAATTAGAGAGCGATCTCGATAATGACATATTTACGGACTTAATCTAAACTTTTATTTTATTAATAAACATATTCATTTACATTGAATTTTTATTTAGTTATTGTATTTCTGCAGTCTACATCAATTGATGCGAGATGTATGGCTCGAGTGGATCTAGTGCTTCAAAAAAAAAATTATACAGGCTGCGCCAGAACTCGCGCCCCAGAGAAAATTTTCAAGTAAGGTAAGATACCAGAAACATGAAAAAAATGTTTAAAAAATTCTATCTGTCAAAAGTTTGACATTTATTTTTTGACATTTGACATTTTTTATGTCTATTTAATGATACTGATGATCTTGTATATGTTTTTTTTACAATTATTTAGTAAAGGTTTGCGAATAAAAGCCACAGCTAACATTGAACAGAATTACAATTTAGGATACAGTGTCTTTGTTTCCTTTTCTAAGAACCTGTGGCAAAAAAATTTGGAAAGTTATTTTTCCAACAGAAGTAAATAGAACCAAAGTGCAAAATTTAAACTCTCATAACTTTGAAATTTTTATAGATAATTTTTTTAAAACATTTTTTCCATGTTCCTGGTATCTTACCTTATATGGCATTTTTCTCTGGGGCGCGAGTTCTGGCGCACCCTGTATATCAGTAATTATTAATTCAATTGTATCAGTTTTGGCATCAAACATTTTTTTAGTATGGTGTCTAAATTTGATTCACAGCATATATGGTGTTTTTGTTTTCAATAAAAAAAGATCCTCGCTTGCTGAAAATGTTACCACATAAAATTACTTTTTTTCATTTTGATTCATATTTAAAAACAATGTCTACGTACTTTATTTACTACAATACTATCAGAAATAACGCTCACCTTTCTGCTTTCAAATATAACAAAAACGAATTCGATAGCTTCACAAATTCCAAAGATATTGCGTTGGAAAGTTTGAGAAACGTTAATTACGCTTATGTTAAAAAAAAATAAAATTTATTAAAAATTAGGGGTTCTACTGGGGGTGAAAGAGTCGTAAATTTTGTTATCATGTACAAAATCATATGAGGAATAAGATGGTATGAGTTTGGTCTGGTTCTACCACAATTTATTTTTTTACTCCACTATCTAGACTTCTTGGTGTCGTGAATGAAATAACATACACTAAAACCAAATCTAAAACTTAGTCTAAACTTTTTAAAGTACGTTTAATGTTTTATTTACTCAGACCAGGAGAAGTTTTATAGCAAAAGTTGATATGAGTCCAATTTTTTTATCAATTTGTGTTGTTAAAAGAGATAAAACTTGAATAATTGAATAACTTGGTGTATGTTAATAATAAAAAATAAAAAATAGGTGGACAAATTGAGGGCTCAGGCGGCCGAGCAGGCGGAACAAGTGGCTGCGCAAGAAGCCGAACTGAATTCGAAAAAACAACAATTAGAAGGCTTGCGACTGGAAGAACAAAGATTGGAGCAACAGAAAAGAGAAAGCGACAGTAAACTCCAAAGTTTGACATCGAATTTACAAGAAACTCAACTTAGTATCAGTCAGGTAAAAATTGGGGTTGCCTATCTGGGGCCTTTATTTCTATGTTTTTTTTTAGGCTAAAGCTCTGATAACTCAATTGCAAGAACAGACGCGACAAATGAACGACGCGATAGAGGCATGCGACACCGCTATTCAATCGGGAGACGCAAATTCTGTACCTGATACCGCTTTAAGCATCAAGCCAGATTTTCGCGATCCTGAATATACCAAAGTGGGACTGGTTAACGGCAATAGCAATAAACAAAATGGGTTTGGAGACGGGAAAGATGATCCATTTAGTAGCAAAGAAAACGGGACAAACTTCTCGTCTGGTTTCGGGGATGATCTCTTTAATAACGGTGTGTTTTTTGGTTATTTTTATCATTTATGACAATTTGTTTTTTACAGATTCTTTTAAAAATACCAATGCCTTTGAACAAAGTGATCCATTCAATTCTGCCTTCTCAAAGTCAAATGTATGTTTTTTGGATTTTGTGTTTTTTTTTTTTTTTTTGGATTTTGAGTTATTGGGTTGCAGGATGGCTTCTCATCGGATCCGTTCGGTGGGAGTTCGTTCAACACCGGAGCGGCGACGAAAGCAGATCCTTTCGACGCGTTCGGGGACTCCCAGAAAAGTGCGGATTCTACAGTCGAGGTATTAAAATAATTTTTACGGAGAACTACATACTTTGACATGAAACGAGATACAAAATTGCTCGATTTTTTGGACCCAAAAAGTAGTACGGCGAAAAATGGGGCTCTTAGAGCGTTTTACCGTCTCAGTTTCAAATCTTTGTAAATTAATTTAAATTCAACTAGTTTACTAATTGGTTAGAAAAAATGCAAAATTGTTAAGCTTTACATTCTTAATAAGCTGTAAAAAACGAACGACTAATTTTTTCACGACAAATATGAGAAAAAAAAATATTTAAAATTTAAAATCTGTGCTCCGTTTCATGTTTTTCAAAATGCTGCGAATACGGTTGAATATACAAGAAAAACGTAAGAAAGAAAGTTGTAGGAAATAAAATTTTCTAGAAAAAGAGACCATACCTCTATCTTTAATGGTTTAGGTCTCAAAGACGCTCAAACGACGGATTTGTTTAATTTTTACTGGTGATTCAGTGTCAGAGGAACACTTTAAAGCAATTTAAACCGAAACCGTTGAAGATAGAAATATGATCTCTCTGACTTTTTTGAAGCAAATGTTATTCTCTACAATTTTGTTTGTTACACTTTTTTTTATATCTTTAACCGTATTCGCAGCGTTCTCAAAAATATTGGGCGGAACGCAAACTGATAATTGTTTATAATTTATTAAAACTGTTTTCGATATTTTTGAGAACGCTGCGAATACGGTTGAAGATACAAAAAAAGTGTAGGGAACAAAGTTGTAGAGAATTAAATTTCCTACAAAAAAAGTCCGTGAGACCATATCTCTATCTTCAATCGTTTAGGTTTAAATTAATTTTTTGTTTCTTGACCATCGGTAAAAATGACACGTATTCGTCACTTGAGTGTCTTTGAACGTCTTTAGGACCTAAACCATTGAAGATAGAGGTGTCTCTCGCGGACTTTTTTTGGAAAATTTTATTCTCTACAACTTTCTTTTTTATATTTTTCTTGTACCTATAACCGAATTCGCAGCATTTTCAAAAATATGCGCAAATTGCTAAATGTTTGAAATTTTTTTTTAATATAGTTTTAAATAAAAATTTTGCTTTACCTTTAAATCTTATATTGTGAATTTAATGCTCTATCTGTCTATATTTTTTTTATTTGCGTTTTGCTCACCGTTATGTAAATACAATCATTTTTTTATTTCATTGCTCTTAAAACTTAAACGGGAAAGCTATCTGGCCTCACTAAGGGAACTATCGAGAACGGAGACGTTTTGTTTTAAGATTAGTTCTCTAATATTTTTATCCCTTGAATTTGTGGAAGTTGCCCCAGAAATTTCTTAGAAAGCTAAATATTGTTTTGACTTTTAGATCTTAAAAAAATAATCTAATCATAATTATTCTGTCTGCCTAATAGGTTGTACATATTTACAAATTAGAAAGCTCACAGGTTGCATTTTCAATAGAAATTAAATTTTTATATGGGGTTACAAGACATATAATTCCATAAATTAAAATTTTTACAATCGGAAAAATTACAAATCTATGCAATTGTGGCCAAATTTTGGACATCAAGCTATGTCATTCAAAAAATATCAATGTAAGCCACGCTTTAGTGTCATTATGATTGATGTTTGGATCTAAAATTTGAAAGTTTTAGTTGAAATTTATTTTTGGCGTCGATTTCCTAATACATACAATAATGCCAGCAGTATAGTTATTATTTTTTATTATTATTTTGATTTATTCAAAATGTCATTTTTATTTAGCTACAAAAATCAAAAAAAATAGTCGCACATAAAGCCACTTTTACATTTTACGTCAACCGAATGACAAATCGTCCAAAATTCCGTGGCTACACATCTAAATATAAAATTTACAATGCGCACTAAAAAATTCATTTTCTTTGGAGGGGCATTTATGATTTTTTTTGCTAGGTTTTTTTAGTTTAAAAGTGTCCTTGTTTTCCATTGCAATTTTTTGCCATTGACCACATTTATGGGTCCCACTAACCGTAGAAAAATGCGAAGTTTTCATTTATAGTTACAAAAAGTGCATGTCTTATAAAAAAAATTGTGATAGGCCGAATATTTTTTTATGAAGGACAACGATAAATTAAAAAATAAAAACGATATGAATTTATTCATAGTGGTCTCGCTAAATAACTATTTGTTTTAGACTTCTGGCGAGCATTTGTTTAAAAGTAATACACTTTTTTGTATACGCTCTCGAAACAAGCTGAGTCTTTGCTGGACCCAATAAAATAATATGAAAATACCCAAAATACAGTTTTTACAGACGAATAAGTCAATTTAGTTATTATGGTGGCGAAATTTGTTTAATTAATAATAGGTGTAAATTTATTATATTATAAATTATTTTGTCTGATTATTGTTGCTATTTATTAAAACTCTCATAGATAATAAATAATCTTTTTTCGAAAAAAAAATGATCAGGTCTACTAAACACGGGAGATTCGATAGAAGTACACAACACAATTTGCTTGTTTTTTCATTCCACGTCAAACGTTTCTGCTTCTAGTTCTTTAATAATAATAACTGAAAATGATTATCCTAATTACATGATAAAGATGGTCGTAATCCGTCTTCGTGCTTGGGTTAGTACAAGGACAGGTAGAGATCCTCGATGGCACTAACAACGCCTCTAGTGGTAAACACAATGAACTAGGAGGCATTTTTGGGCAAAATATATTTATGAATAATTTAAAAACAACAGTGTTTTATTAGACGGTGTTTGTTGAATTTGTTAAGAATTAATATTTTGTAATAAATACCAAAACCCTAAAACGAATCTTTAGGTCTACCGTTAAATGTCGTGACTTTTACATCTCAAAAACTAAACACTTTTTCAAAAAAATGCCAAAGCATCGGCCTATAGAATATTCTTTTAAATTATCTTACAAAAACCAAGATTGTTTACTTGAAAAGTTGTTTTCAAGTTCAGCATTTATGCATTTTTGTTCTTTTTTTAAAAGTATTACATTTTTTAAAATCTCAACGTATCGGCCTGTAGATTTAAAAAACCTTCACTTTGATGTATAATACTCGAAATTCTGTTGTATATTAAGAGAGTAATCTTGTTTTCAATATACTAACGTGTCAAATCGTTGGTCGTGGACACCCTTAATGTTAATCATAGTCTTTTTTTTTGTAAAACATTTACTATTTGTGTTTGCAATAATAGAATAATAATTTCAGCCCGATAAGGATCCATTCGGTTGCGATCCTTTTGCTGTTCTCCACGCCCCGACCAGAGATGGTGCTGCGCCTCCTCGACCAACCAGTCCTAGTCCAGCTTTACCTCCAAAGAAAAGCAAACAGCCTCCTCCAAGACCGGCACCCCCACGACCAGCCCAGCCTCCCACTGTCAAAAGATCATCACAACCGGATCTATTCGGGAATGACGCTTTCACTTCAAGCGGCGGTTTTGCCGATTTTTCAAATTTCGAGTCTAAGGTAAAGTCTTAAAGTGCGAATCGCCACTAAAGAAAAAGTTAAAGTGTTTGCACTATAGTCACGTGATTGGTCCCACTCCCCCTTCCCAGAATCCCTTGCACAGTCCGGTATGGTAGTTGTTTTATTTTTTAGATATGTAGTTTTAAACATTACTAACAGCTTGAGTTTTGATTTAGTTCCCGATTTCGGCCCACCTCGCATGCCGTCGCAAGTGTTTTTAGCAATTGCAGGTGCCGAGCCGGATACTAACACAATAATCGGGCTTTTACAGCCTTAGTAATCTTCACGTCTCCTCTTCAGTTTTCCACTACAAAGCCGACCGATAAGACCGCACAGACGAAAGGTTTGGATTTTACTGACGACCCATTCCGAGACTACCGATACGAGGATCCATTCAATATTAAATTTGATGATGAGCCTGTCGATGTTAAGGGGAGTCTAGGTAGCGAAATCGACACGTTTGGGTTCCCCAAGTCGGAAAAGTTTGATCCGTTTGGGTTGGACGGTCGGCAGTCGGTTCCGCTCCCGGGGGCCTCCACAGGGGCGGATCCGTTCAGCGGCCGGGCCTCAGCCCCCATCCCCATGAATGAGGATCTGCAATTGGCGTGGGCCGCCCGTGAAAGTCTCAAACTCGAAGAGGATCGGAAAAAAAGACAGTTGCAAGAACAGGCGGATCTAGAGTTAGCCATCAGTTTAAGTAAAGCTGAAAATAAAAAATTGTAGCTCATGTCAATAATAATAATAATACGAGCTTGACTGTGGTACGCATTTCTTTTTCGCTTATCAAAAATATGGACATATCATTTGGATAATTTCGCGTCAAATATTCATTAAGTATGCCTGTGCCTATTTCACAATACTCTTTTAAGGACTATAACGAATGGCAATATGTGTTTTCAATAATCCTTACAGTATTCACCAAGACTCTGAAGATTTATTTTGTTTATTTTTTTATTTGTCGTTTCAAATTTCAGTTAATGCCGTTTATGATTTTTTAGTCATGTAAATATGTTATTATTTAAAGTACAATATAATTGTTAACTTTTATTTTTGTTTTATTTTGTATTTTCCTTGGCCACCAATTTTATCTCGCCTGGAATTAACCAGCATTATGCTAAGCTTCATCATTTATCTAAAAACAAGGTTACATTATCTTCCACTTGTCTGTAAATAATTGTTACTAAATATTGTAATTAGTGTATTAAAATGTTGACTTATTCTGAATATGGCTTTTCTGATGTAAACTGACAATAGTCTTCACTGTAATAGACTTAAGTGTGGGAATAATTTTTTTTCTGAATGGGAATTAGGAAGACTGTAATTTGGATTATCATGTGGGTGCCTGAGGGTTTTATTGCCTGAACGACAACCGGCAATTTTATTGCCCTGTTACCTATTTGTAGATGTAGGGGAAAAACGGTTGATATCATCGACCACAAGTATATCGTTTAGTTAGGAGTGATTAGCAACGACTAGTGCTTTGCATTACTTTGATTAAAATGTGAGCGATTATTTGTGATTTTTCACGTTAAACATTGGAGATGTTTTCACTTGTACAGTGTTATTACTTTGACATTTTATTGTTAATTCTGTAGATTTATTAAATGCACTTGTATAAATATTGCACCTGATGTGGATTCTCATATGTCCGGATTTACTAGCAGATTATTATTTTCAACAATCGACCACAACGTTGATGGAATGTCCTTAGATGTTATAAAATAATATTTGTTGAATGTTAGCCTCATTTAGGTGTAATTTTTAAGAAACCATTAAATCATTATGTAAGTAAACGCACTATTTGTCATGTAGAATCGATCTCTTATTTATCACCCAGTTTTTACATTTTTTGCAAATGCGAGAAGTACGGTCTATTTTGGCAAACAAAGTCGCTTATTATTGCTTTCAATTTAAAAATAGAGGATGGCCTATTCTGAAATTTTTGAATAATGCAAATGACTAAACTGAAATTTATTTCAAAATATCAATTGTTTCACAAATTCTATGTCTATTCGGACGGACTAAACTTTATATCTTCTGGTTATACCTTAAAAAATGTCTGCTCAGCCAATCATCACTTAGACTAATGCTCAGAATTATGCCTAAGCGTGACAGAATTTGTCGCAGATATAATCTTTATAAATTCTCCGACTCGGGACAACAGTTGCAACTTTTAATTGAAACTGTGTTTGAATTTACAATTACATATTTTATTTGTCCCAAATAATTTTTCTCTAAGAAATGGTTTTCCCACCTTCGAAAACATAGTTTCGATCAGATTAGCTGATTCCAAAAAATTCATTTAATTTTAAAAATAACATTTTGGAATCATTTGTTATATTTTCATAAATTACACTAATAGGCTCTTATTCTCTAATTTTTCGTTCATGAACGAATGGATTTCAACGAATGTGGTAACGACATGTTTGAATTTCGTATTCCGTAACCTTATCGTTAAGGGAAGACCTTTCACATTTTCTCAACGAAAAGTCAATATTTTTAATTTATTCAAAAAGGTCATTAATGTCACAATGTAAGTTTATTAATCGGCAAAAAGAAAAATAAATCTAAAACAACGATTCAACAATTTCAGCTACATTTGAATTTGTTAGAGAATGACTATATTTGTATCGGAGAAAAAAAAAACATGGAAAAAATTAATGATGAATTTAATGCTTGGGGTAGTTCTAAGAGACATAGCTGGGCGGAAAAAAAATAAAGCTATCTTTAAATAAATATATAATATGCAAAACATGTATTTTTATTTAACAAGAAGATGAGTTTCAACCACCCACTCCATCAAGTACCTAACTTTTCTCTTAAGCCGATTCTTTTTAATTGGGACTACGAGTGTGTACTAGTTCTGTGTTGTCCATTATTCAAAAAACTTGAATTTTAAGAAAAAAAAATCATTTTCTAGTTGTAAAATTAAAAAATTTAAACATTCTTCAAAATAATTCATCAAACCTATTAAAAAGATTGCTAGCGTCTTTTAATTTTTTTATTAACTGTTTGTACGTACATTTGTCTAAAAGGTACAAGTATGTTTTAAAATTTTGTAATAAGAAAATCAACAACTGTAATACTATAATAATAAAATAATAGAAAAAAAAAAAAACTTACAAATCAGTTATCAAAATACTAATTCGTTGAGTCAACGACAAATTTTAACGAAATTATCGGTAGTCAACAAAAGTAGTTTATTTACAGAATACCTACAAAAATTCGTTTACCAATGAAAATCGTTCACTAACATTATCGTTCAGAGTTACAGAATAAGGGTCTAAAACACAATGTTTTTTTTTCGTTATATTTTACAGTGAGCGGCAAAATTATGGAATAATTTTATTTATTAAAACCGAAAAATTTTTGTGTAGATGTAGAACAGATGAATTTTCTCTTTAAAAATTCTTAACTTGATTTAAAATTCTATGTTTGTTTTTTGTTGATATTATTTCACATTTTAGATGATTTTTTTTTCGAAAACTATGTAATATTTAATGTTTTGGTGTTGTCATTTTGACAATTACAAGATCTATCGAATTGGCTAAAAAATTAGGTGTTTACATTTAAAAAAAAATGTCGATGACGTCATTACTCAAAAAGCAAAAAGTGTAAAATTTTAAATCAAGTTGAAAGTTGTGTATTTTTTAAAAAGAAAATTGACCTGTTCGAGTATTTTTGCAAAAACAACATATTTTCAGTTTTAATAAGATTATTCCATAATTTTGCCGCTCACTGTATACAATGTGTTAAAAAAAGATTGTAAAATATCTCAGGAGGTAATATAGTATGGACCAAAACAAACAAAAAAGTCTTAATAAACATATGGGTCCGCAAAGTAGCAATTTCGGAAATATCGAAAATTATTCGTTTATCGAAACATTTATTTGCAATTTATTCAAATAAAAAAGAGAAGCTTCTACACCAATTCAGAAACCATCACATATTTACATATGTTTAGTTTAGTTAATTAAGTTAGGCAATTTAGTTTCAGAAAGCGTAAATTGAAATTTAGATTAGTCAATTGTCTTTCAAAAAGTGTTAATTGTAATTCAGAAGAGTAAAATGAGTTTCAGAAACAATGAGATGTAATTCAGATTAATTCATTTAATTTCACAAAGCATAAATTGGAATTCAGATTAGTCAATTATATTTCAGAAAGTATTAATTGTAATTCAGAAACCATTACATACAGGGTGCGCCAGTACTCGCGCCCCAGAGAAAAATGCCATATAAGGTAAGATACCAGGAACATGGAAAAAATGTAAAAAAAATATCTATAATAATTGTTGAAGTTATGAGGGTTTGAAGTTTGCACTTTGTCTCCATTTATTTCTGTTAGAAAAATAATTTTCCAAGTTTTTTTGGTATAGGCTATTAAAAGAGGAAACTTGGAAGCTGTATCCTAAATTGTAACTCTGTTCAATGTTATTTGTGGCTTTTATTGTCAAAATTTTTGTCCCTTTACTAAATAATTATAAAAAAACATATACAAGATCATCACTATCATTAAATAGACATAAAAAATGTCAAATGTCAAAAAATAAATGTCAAAATTTTTTGACAGATAGAATTTTTTAAACATTTTTTTCATGTTCCTGGTATCTTACCTTATTACTTGAAAATTTTCTCTGGAGCGCGAGTTCTGGCACTCCCTGTATGTAATTCAGTACAGTAAATAAATTCAATTTCATGTTACATGTAATCCAGAAAATATCAATTGTAATTCAGATGAGTAACTTACTGTTATCTCAAAATGAAGTTTACACATAAACACGAATTATTTTATTTTCAATACTACAGAGTTACATAAACTTAGTATTTTATAAAATAAATAAGATATTTCATTATAAATCTACAAATAAAACATTCACTTTTCACGTTACAATAAACAACTGTTAACACTGTTTCTTTAAAAAACTATTTTATTTTTACATAGCATTCCAACTTACACAAAATATGTAGCTTATTTGACATCATAAATTTAAAAGCTGAAAACATGTTAACAATTGTCTTAAAAAAATATCCCAAAAGCATTTTTTTAAGAAATAAATAATGTTATTAAACATGCGTCGTATACAAGATTTCATTGCATAATTTATTTTACAATTTTTGGTTAGCAAAAAAATTGTTAATCTAAAAGAGTTCCACCTTTTTCTGCTTATGTATTTTTATTTATCAGACAAAATGAGACATACAGGTTGCGCCAGAACTCGCGCCCCAGAGAAAATTTTCAAGTAAGGTAATCTTACCTTACTTCTACCAGGAACATGAAAAAAATGTTTAAAAAATTCTATCTGTCAAAAATTTTTGACATTTGACATTTTTTATGTCAATTTAATCATACTGATGATCTTGTATATGTTTTTTACAAGTGCAATATTTAAACACTCATAACTGGGAAATTTTTATAGATAAAATTTTTTTAACATTTTTTCCATGTTCCTGATATCTGACCTCATATGGCATTTTTCTCTGGGGCGCAAGTTCTGGCGCACCCTGTATTTTCTCTTGACATTATTCACATTTCGTAGGTTTTACTGTGCTTTCATGATCTTGTGCAAAATCTTTCAAAGGTATTCATGGATAGAAAATTATTTAAATTAATTAATTAAATAAGATACGAAAAACACGAAAGCTATGGGTAAATTATTTTATATTCCTTTTCGTCATCCCGCCTGTGATGCGTCCCGCGTTTCCACCAAATTTGCTGTGGTGGAATAGTCGGTTTAAGAATATATTTGTAGATAATCGAAGGAACGACTTCATAGCTTAAATCTAGAAAGATAAGACAATAATTTGAGCGATACAAATACATATTTTGTATATTTTCGTTACCTTTTGCAGAAATAGTAATTCCATAAAGTAGACACATGATACCTAAAACGACTATTGTGTTCGTCATTGATAAAAAAAGTTGTGCACTTGATCCGAAAGTCTAGACAAAACTAAATCCAGAATTACGTTAACCTTTTAACAAATTTATTATTGGTTGGAATCCTTGTCACGATTTGTTACAAGTTTGAGTATTTATTCAAATTCATAAACCTCGAAAAAGTAACCGCAAGAAATAAAAAAGTGAACTAATCAAAAGACAACATATAATACCTATGACCTCACACTACAATACTTACAATCATCTGTAGAATTCTGATTTCATATTGTTATCACAAAATTTTTATTGGCGATTTGTTCTAGAAAATAAAAATTTCAATTTGGCAACCCATTTCCAAAACACAATTGATCTGATCATAGAAAAACTCTAATAATATAATATTAAACACAAAATATACTGCTACACATTAGACATGCAACAACACAACATCACCAAATCTATAAAAATAAATTTGAAATCAGTATAGTTTAGGAAGTTATTAATTTTTTCTTTTCAATTTTTCTGGAATTTGCACTCTTACTCTATTCTGCAGTTTTCGGCAGAATACAATTAATTAAAGGTGATGTACCTATTTCTGTGACATGCTGTATATTTCAATTCGAATTGATCTATTGAAACAAGTCCAAATTTCTCCATCAATTTAATGAAATAAATAAAGGAGATTCTCGTTAAAATTAAGCCAAATCAAGCTGATCTAAGGTTTTTTAGTGGTTTTCTATTATTTGTAGACAATTTTTATGAATTTTTATTTTTTATTTTATTTTGTGTAACTTCTAATGAAAAAGATACATACAAGATACAGATTTTTGACTATTTTAAAAACACGAGACCAAATAGCTCTCATATGTAATATTCCTTATTTTGTTAAATTTGTTCTGAGTTTGTCTCTGGTATGAAAGCTGGACTGGAGAAGATATTTCTACATTTGTTAATAAAAAAAAATAAAAAGATTCTTTATTTGATACTTAATAATTTATTGATGGTTACTGGAATTTTCATTTTTTATACAGGATGCGCCAGAACTCGCGCCCCAGAGAAAAATGCCATATAAAGTAAGGTACAAGGAACATGGAAAAAATATTTTAAAAAAATTCTCTAAAAATTTCGAAGTTATTAGAGTTTAAATTTTGCATTTTGACTATTTACTTCTGTTGGAAAAATAACTTTTCATTTTTTTGCTACAGGTTATTAGAAGAGGAAACAATGAAGCTGTAAATTGTAATTCTGTTTAATGTTATTTGTGGCTTTTATTGTCAAAATTTTTGTACTTTTAGTAAATAATTGTAAAAAAACATATACAAGATCATCAGTATCATGACTTAAAAAAAAGTCAAATGTCAAAAAATAAATCTCAAAATTTTTTGACAGATAGAATTTTTTAAACATTTTTTTCATGTTCCTGGTATTTTTAATAAAACATGGAAAAATTGAAAAAAAAAACCTCTAAATTTTTTTGACATTTCTCGTTTTTTTTTTAATGTATCTGTACATTTTGTATTATTTCCTATTGTCCTGACTTCATATCATTTGGTTGGTAATACAGCTTTAATAACTTAAAAAAATTACATGATTTAAAATTTTACGGTCTCATCAGTTTTCAATTTTCAATTTTCTACATATTGTTCTTATGAAAAGCATGATAAACTTGTAAAATCAGAACTTTGCTACGATGTTTTTTTCTTATTTATTCCTTTTTTACATATTGTAATGCCATGTAAAAGATAATTACCGTGAAATAAATATTAATATCGAACAATGGAAGAAGTACCACGTAAATAACTATTAAAATAATAGTGCAAACTCGGGCAAATTTTTGTCGTGTTAGAAGTGCTGATCAAGAACTTATATTTCATCCAACTCACATTTTACACTTTTTAAAATGTTTGTGATACATATAATATTTATTTTGGGTGCTGTTTCAAGTGTCACAAGTGAAATAAACATTTCAGGTATTTTCCAAATTTCTATTCCATTTCTGTAGTTAGATTTTTTCCAGATTCTGATTATAAATTATTACCACCAATATTTCATATCGATTCTTATGAGGAGTGTATACAAGAAAATAAAACTTTTTGCAGGATAACTATAAAATTATCACCAATAAATAACAAAACAAAAATCTGGAATTTGATTGAGGTAATAATTTATTAAAATTTTAAGACAAGTAAATAATTTTGGATATTTTAGCAAACGAAAACGTCGAAGCGATTTTACAATCACGACGAACTTTATTATGCAATTTGTGTCGAAAATGGCCTCAAACTAGGTCAAAATGACGCATTTTTGAAAAAAACCCTATCAGAATTTTATACAAACAAGTACATAAATGTTAGTTTACAAGCAACAGTTGTGGAAATAAATTGCCAAAGTTACAAATACCAAATAAAAAAGTTCGATCTTTTCGTATTGTAAGTGGTACAATTCTATCAGTTTTTTGTACAATTTTAATTTCTGGTTACAGAATTTTTATAATTCTCTATTTATTACTGATACTTGTGGCAACAGTATATGATTTAAAACGACACAAAGGGAACAAATCTCTGATTTTATTCTCTTTACGCCACAATTTAGAAAAAATAAAACGCAATTTCAATCAAAGAAATTGTGAAAAATTGAAATGTATCCAAGGAATTCGTTTTTATACCACTGTGCTTATTATTTTTTGTCACACCTTTTGTAGTTACGCTGGTGGTTACATCGGCGATACCAAATATCTGGAAGACGTAAAAAATCAAAAAAAAACACCAATTTTATTCATCAGAAAACCATTTTCAGTTTTCGCTAAATTTCTTCAGACATGGTTTAAGAAATTTATTTGTTTTCTTGGTACAAACCTTCTTCCTAGTATCAGCTTGGCTTTTGTCGTATAATACGTTTAAAATCTTTGATAAAACAAAACGAGACGATTTTTTCAAGTACTTGTGTCTCACATTTTTGAACCGATATTTGAGGTAATTGCAATTTTTTTTTTACTTAATTTTAGAAAAAGTTTTAGGTTAATACCACCAGTTTTGTTGATGGTATCATTGAGTACCAGTGTTTGGATTTATGGGTCTTTTCATGGACCCATTAAATATGTTTATTCCGATAGGGAATATGAACGTTGTCAGAAAAATTGGTGGGTGATTTTTTTATTTTTGAGCAATCATTACCAACAGCACGACATGGTAAACACTAGTAATTTATTAATTAAAATAATTAATATTTTTCAGTGTTACTTCACTAATTGGTATCTCTCTGCTGATACCCAACTTTATGCAATTTCGTTAATCCTTCTAATAATTATTTTAAAATTTAGACTTATGAAAATTCGAATACTAACAATTTTTCTACTAATTAGCATTTTTATTCCATCAATGGTCACGTTTATCTACAAACTTGACATTATTTACAGAATTACACCCGAGTAAGTATCTAGAATAATTATAAGTAATTTGTGTAATTTTCAATTTTTAAGGAATTCAAAAAACAATCTTTTCCAATCATTCGAATTCAGTGCTACTTATACCTCAACTTACTCAAACATGGCCACTTATATTTTAGGACTAATATTCGGTTTTGTTTATTTTCGATTAGAAAATAAACCGATTTTTAGCAAAAAAGTAAAAACTCAAAAACGAAATTTAATTTCACTATTTTACCATATTTTCAGTGCTTTGTCCTTTTGTGGTATATTTTATTCACAGGTCTCCCCTTATCAGTAATTATCATTTCTTCATTTGAATTTAATCGAGTCACCTCAGCAATTTTGGCGGGGATTTTGAAACCAATGTATGCCTTGGGGATTGGGATTGGGATTTTTGGGATGTCCCAACGTATTGGAGGTAAAAATTTATATTATTTTTCTATAAAAAAAACAATAGTTTTTAGGTTTTTTAAAATCGCTTTGTGAATGGAAACTAGCCTTATTTTTTGGAAATATTACTTACAGCACCTATATTGTACATTTTGGGATTGTTTTTTGTAGAACAGCGTTGGCAACAAGGCCACTACAAGTTTCGGACTATATTTTGGTATAATTTTTTTTTCAGAAAAGAATTATTTCTATTTCCATTTTTTGTAGTTCGTTTCTTTTGTTCAGGACACGTTTTGGTCCTTTATTTGTGGTTTTTTGATGCATTTACTAGTAGAAATGCCAGCGTCAGAGCTTCAAAAAATTTTAGTTCCTAAATTTAGCAGCGAGTCTGATAAAAAGGTAAAAAAGTAACTTTCAGGCCAAATTACATTTCGAATACAATTTTAATAAACAGAAATTAATTACAAACTTTTTTTATTTTCAACCACATGTCCTCTTTCGATTTGATTTCAAAAAAGTTTTCATCGAACGTAACACATTTCGGTGCTCTTTTTCCCAATGAAAATTCATATTTTGAAAGGAGTTCTATTAGAACCAATTTCATAATTAACTTGACATAAAGAGAATCTGAAAAAAAAAACATTTTAATAACATTTTTCCATGTTCGGTCATAAATACATACCAAAATCATTTTTTATTTGGTGTCCAAATGGTAAATATTTGATCGAATCGATAAACATTTCATTTTCTTCCGAAAACCGATCAGGATCGAATAATTCAGGATTAATATAATTGTCAACATCGTGATGAATCCCAAATATGGATAAAAATACTGTTTGATTTTTATCAAATTTCATATCATTTTGTTCAAAACTGTTTTTACAAATCTTATTTACAAAAGGTTTGATTGGATATTTTCTTAACGTTTCTGGAAAAAATATTAACGTTTATATGTATTATTTCTGATAAAACTTACCACAAATAACTGTTTCTAAATAAGTCAACTGTTTCAATTCAGTGTACGTAAAAGTGCCTTTATTTTTTCTAAATCGTAATATTTCTCCTCTTAAATCATCCTGTATCTCCCTGTTGAGACTCAATTCATACAGTGTGAAAAGAATTAAATTGTTCGATTTTTCCAAATAGTCCACAAGATTTAAGATAAAATCAACTGTATCACTAGGTGAAAACCCATTTTTCTGAAGCACTTGCAGAACATTGTCTTCTTTCAAATTGGTTTTCTTTCGTCTTTTGACTATTTCTTCCAATATTTTTTTACGAAATGCCTTACTCTTGCATAATTGTGGGTAAGTCAAAGAAACACATTTTCGGAAAAGTGGGAAAATACTTGGCCTTTTTATTTCGTACAATTGAGTCGAAAAAAATTCTTGCATGCACAATTCGACAAATTCCTTGCCCAAAATTTGTGTAAAATTAATTTCCTTTTCGCCAATTTGTCCTACTTCCGGCCAAACTTTTTGCACACTTTTCAAAACACTGCATAACATTTCTTCACAAAACTCAGTGTCCAAATCATTTCTTTCTTCATTTTCAAAAACATCAGTAAAAAATAATTGGATTAGTTTCGCATCCACAATCATTATCGCTGGTTTTAGAAACATGTAAAAACCACCAAACTTGCATTTTTTCCTTTTAAATCGATTGTAGAACTTCCACAATTGCATAAAAATAGGCACTTTTTCGAAAAGAACATTGTAGAGGTGTCCGAAAGGAAAAGTGGGATAGCCTGCCTTTGGAATTCGCTTTCTTTCGAAAAATGTATACACGTGACGGATGTAACAAAAAGCGAAAATCACTGAAAATGTGAAAAGAGTGATGGAATAGAAGAACCAGTCTTGTTCCATTGTTGGATCTTTTGATAATTGGCACAAACACAACTCACATGGTATCAGTATCACACAGTGTCAATATTTACAGATTTTTATCACTAAATCCGATGATAACAGTGGCATTTCACACCACTTTGGTGAGGATTCACCAATAATGACAAAAATAAGGATTGGTCAATTGCATGCATTGCTGGTTTGTTATTGGTTTGTTTATTTCTGTTACGTAATGTGTTACGCAATTACTTGCTTTAAGTTACACTTTTGTAATAGGAGAGTAAGAGATAAAGATATGGGGTTGTCTCGGTTTGTGATGTAACAGGTGGGCACCACAGGTGGGGGCATGGCTCATGTCACTTGATAAATACTAAGTTATCAGCTGTTTTTGAAGAATTTTTTTTAATTTTTTTACAAACGTTATTTTCACTTTTAAACAGGCTCAAGTTGATTTTAAGATAATTTTTTTTTTTTTTGATTTATGGCACCAGTATTAATGAGCTGAATTAAATTTAAATTAAATGCAACCCAAATTTGATGAAACTTACATATTAATGTAATAAATATTAAACAAATAATCGCACTTTTAAATCATTTTATTGACTCCTTTTACGATAAGAATATCACTTTTTTTTAAGAATAGAAAAGAAAATTCAACTTTTAAAAAACTGTTGAAGTAAATAAGCCTTTTTTGGTAAAACGTGGATGTGCTTGATACATACGTTTTTTTACTTAAAAAATGAATAAATAAATATTTTTTTTACTTGATTAATGTTGGTGTTTCAATTTTTTTGACGCCGATAGTACAGTTGCGGAGTTAAAATTTCGGTCAGTATTTTTTGTCATTTCAAAAAGTTCACTGTAAACTACCGTGCGATCAAAAAAATAAATAAATTAGAGTAGGCGGTGATTAAAGTCCTTCAGATGGCAATACTGGTTTTTGACATCAAATGTCAATGGAAACTTTTATTGATTTTGAGTGAAATAATGTTCACTTTAGAGCAGAAAATTTTTATTGTTGCAAGTTATTACAAAAATGCTGTACAAGACGAAAACGGTGAATGGTCATTTTCACTTTCACTTTGTGTGGAAAATTTCCAGCCCAGATTCCCAGCCAATGTATTGCCAACTGTAGAATTTAATCGACGCCTACTCTAATTTATAATTTTTTCGATCGCACGGTAGTTTTTACTGTCATCGTGACTGACATTTGACAATTATACACTTGAGTGCAAAAAAAACACAAATTATCAGAAACACAATTTCCAAATTTTCAGAGATTTACATGGTGTGAAAAAGTTTGGAAGACAATTATGAAATTGTAAATTGTGACAAAGACAACGTAAAAAAACTGGCATTTATTAACAGGTCAAATTACATTATAAAAAATATCAATTTGCGTTTTTTTTGCACTCAAGTGTACTTTTCTGTCGGTGACGCCATTTTTGAAAGTAAATAGGTAAGTCAAAATGACATAAACATGACAAGAGTAAAAAATGGGGTTATTAATGTAAAGATTGTTTTAGAGTTTACATTATAAAAATGACAATACTGTCCACAACTGTACAAATAGTATTTGTTCTGAAGAATTTTTACAATTCGGTTGATTAAATTTTTGATTATTAATATTATTTTCAACTTAGATAATGAACAATTATTATTTTTAATTAATGACAATTATTACTTTTAACACGGAAGGTTTTTTTCACTTATTTACTTAATGGTAATTTTCTTTAGAGTCGGGGTAGTAGCTAGAAAATACATCATGTGTTAACTTTTATATCTATAGTGAACAAAATTTGACAATAATAACTATTTTATGCGAATAAATTTTTTTAAATAAAATATTTGAGGGATATTTGGAAGTTTTTTAAATTTGGCGTCACAGTTGGCGGTGATAACTTTAAAATAGGTACAGTTAGAGACAAAATATTTTGGTCGTCATACATTAAATTGTAAAGCATGCTTTAGGACTGTTAACCTATTTTTAGCCACTGTCAATCATAGTTGACAAGTTGTATGTACATATTTTTGATAGGAAAATATAATAGCTGTCATTAATTTGAAATTGTCATTCATTTTAACGTTAAAGCTTGAATTACATTAAAGTGTCAGAAAAGTGACGACCAAAGTATTTTGTCTCCAACTGTACGATGGTATATTTTTCACAATCAAACTTTAATGCATACTTTTGAGCTAGATTAAAAAAAAAACCTTACATATCATTTACTCGAATTTCTTGAAGTAGAATAACACATTTGCGGAATTAAAATTTCGGACAGTATTGTTATTTTCATAATGTAAACTCTAAAACAACTTTTACATTAATAACCTTATTTGTATTTGTTGCTCTTGTTATTTTGACTTACCTATTTACTTTCAAAAATATAAATGAGCTTTAAGAATAAAGTATTTTACTGTTTCCTACTTAAAAAAAAAATTGGAACACGACTAACGATGAAAAATTTTTTGAGTAAATCAATCAACTTATTTTTAAAGGAAAAGAAAAAAGTGTACCCTTGATAGTGATACAACAATAATATTAACTAACAATCAGTGTAAAAAACAATAAAAAGCACAATTTTCACAATGTCACAATATTTACCATGCCGCACAAAAAAATTGGACGTAAAATTTTTGACACTTTCTCAAAATTGAAACAGACTTTAAGGTTAAATTTGACCTTCAAAATGTCAAATTGACAGATGACATCACATTTTTTAAAATGTCAACACATACATGACCTCGCTATCCCAATTTTTTGTCTGCAATGGGACTTAAAAATGAGGTTATGATATTATTTAACTAGAATTATTTAGTTATGTGTGCAATCAGATTTTGCGCTATCACGGTAAAACGCATAAATAAATTCTCTCGTTGTTTATCCTCGGCCCCCAACGTCATGCTACAAAACGGTTTTCGTGCAGCCCTAGTCCAATGTTTGGTGGGAAAAGACCGATTGAAGAATCTCGAAAACGCTTCAAACCTGATCCACAAAGCAAAATCAAACGGGGCTCAGCTAGTTGCTCTACCCGAGTGTTTCAATTCTCCGTATGGGACAAAATTCTTCGACGAGTATGCCGAAAGCATCCCCGATGGACCTACAAGCAAAATGCTTTCCGAGGCGGCCAAAAAACACTCCATTTATATCATAGGTTGATCAATTCTTATCAAATTCATAGTCAACGATAATTAATTATTACAGGAGGGACTTTTCCCGAGAGAGAAGATAATAAGCTTTACAACACATGTACTGTTTGGAACCCCAATGGTGACATGATTGCAAAATTCCGAAAAATGCACCTTTTTGATATTGACATTCCTGGGGGGATCACGTTTAAAGAGTCTGATATTTTGTGTAGTGGCCGAGATTTGGTCACTTTTGAGATGTATGGAGTCACTGTAGGTTTAGGAATTTGTTACGATTTGAGGTTTGAGGAGCTTGCGAAGCTTTATCGCATTAAAGGTTTCGTTTTCACAAAATAGCAGTCAAATTTATAAAATTATTCTTCGCAGGTTGTAAATTACTCGTATATCCAGGAGCTTTTAATATGACTACTGGTCCTCTACATTGGGAACTACTTCAAAGGTCAAGGGCTTTAGATAACCAACTTTATGTCTTTGCAATAAGCCCCGCAAGAGGCGAACATGGGTACATCGCCTGGGGACACTCCCAAGTAACAGATCCGTGGGGGAAAGTGGTTGCACAAGCCAAACATGGGGAAGAAATAATATACAGTGATTTGGATTTCACCGAATGTGATAAAGTTAGGGCCCAAATACCGATTTTTACTCAAAGACGTACAGATATTTACGATACAATTTGTAAAATTTAATTATAAATAAAAGAGAACATAACCACAAAGTGGGATCAAAGGTCGCCATATCTAACCTAAGAAGAATGAAGTGATAATTTTTTCTGTGATTAAAATAACTTTTACCCAAAATAATTTAGCAAAATGCCGCTCTCACAACGTGATATTATAAGAGTTTGTGAAATTTTAGCCGAACAAGAACAATTGGAGTGTACTGTGAGACATTCGCTTGTTGGGGCTTGTTACGCATTTGGAGGGGCTCTTCTGGGAGGAATATTAGGGGGCCCTGTAGGTCTAGGAGTTGGTATGTTATGCAATTGAAATAATTTTATTTTCGAAAATTTTTGACCCCAGTTTGATAAATTTTATCTCGGACTTATTTTACTGATAAGGTTTTTTTTGTTTATATTTACAGGTAGTGCTGCAGGTGGAGCGTTAGCTGCTTACAAAGGTCATGGGAAATTTAAGTCAGCAGTCTATGTAATTATGTACGAAATGACCGAAAGAGATAGACAAAGACTTGCTGATGCTATGGGTGAAGTAATTAGAAATATTGATGCCTCAGATGTTATTACTGTGATTACATTGCTCAATACTAACGCAGTTCTTAGAAATAGTGCTATTGAAGTTTTAAAAAGATTTTTAACCAATGATGTGGGTGTTAAATTTGTCCAGTAAAAGAAGTCGGTCATATCGTTATTTATTTTGTGTCAATTATTTGCAATCTTAAATATATTTTTACTAATTTTGTGTTATTTATTTTATTGTTCCTGGCAAGTACTGAGGGTATTTTTTTCAAATTAAGCGCCAATTTATACAATAAAATTTAAGATTTATGCTCATAAATTATAAATCACAAAAACTTAAAAGTGTTATTCAAAATTGTACTCACCATTTCTTTTATTAACAATTTTGTTATTTTTGAAAAATTCCGTTATTTAAACCTCAGAGAAATCAAGAAGGATATCGATAGGCTGAGCCAATGCGTACTCGGTGTAGTGGGGAAGCTTGAGCAGTGCCGTACAGATTCTGTGATAAAAAGGGAATTGTACAGTTGGAGACAAAATACTTTGGTCATCACTTTTCGGACACTGTAATGTAATTCAAGCTTTAACGTTAAAATGAATGACAATTTCAAATTAATGACAGCTATTATATTTTCCTATCAAAAATATGTACAACTTGTCAACTATGATTGACAGTAGCTAAAAATAAGGTTAACAGTCCTAAAGCATGCTTTACAATTTAATGTCACTCAAGTGACATTGACGACCAAAGTATTTTGTCTCCAACTGTATAGTTGCATTTTTTTTTCGTATATTCATTGATTGAGACGTATCTCAATCGTAATGCTCCACGATTATTTCAAATATACGGTGATTATAATTTTTGTATAAATAAGAGATAAACAAAAAGTAACAAATAGATTCGTTTATTAAAAATAAACATACAGTGGCGGACACGAAATTTTGAACATAAAATTTATGTTAGTTCAAAAAATGTCAATGTAAGCCACGCTTTATTGTCATTATGACTGACGTTTGAAACTAAAATTTCAAAGTTTTAGTTGAAATGTATTTTTGATTTTGATTTTCCGAAACAATAATGTCAGCAATACGTGTTTATATAAGTTCAAAAAATTGTTTTAATTTGTTGTTATTTTTCCTCTAGTTATCAGGATAAAAGTTACAAAAACCGAAAGTGAGGTTAGTTGCCTAGCAAACAATCTCTGATTTTTCATTTGTTAAATTATCTCATAATGATTACTGAGTATTGCAATTTATAAAAGAAGAAATGCTTTAAAAATGTTATTTATTAATAAAGTAACAAAATCAAAATGTTTTCATTACTGTACAGTGATGGACAGTGAATTTCGTCCACTCAATTTCCGTGAATTCACAAAAATTCATTCAAATACGTATTGTCAAATTTAATCAAATTCGAACATGCCAGCAGTAAATGCGTTTAATAAAATAAATAATAAAAATTATCTCCCTGGTACAGTTACGGAATAAAATTTCGGGCAGTATTGTCATTTTCATTATGTAAACTCTAAAACAACCTTTAAATTAATAACCTCATTTTATACTCTTGTTATGTTTATGTCATTTTGACTTATTTACTTTAAAAAATAATGATTTGTAGCATAATAACGGGTAGTCAGCAGATCAAAGCGATGATTTAATTACTTTAATTAATTAATTTATTTAATTAATAAATTTCCTAACAGTCAAATTGTTTAATTAACAATTTTAACAACAAAAAAAGTTTAATTGTTAAATGTCAGTCATGATGACAGTAAAAGGTAGTTTACAGTGAATTTTTTAATGTGACAAAAAAATTGCCCGAAATTTTAATTTCGCAACTGTACAAGAAGGTATGTCCCAAAAACGTGTCTCTATACTTTTAGATATACCAAGGACTACCATTTCAAACAACAAAGTTAAAAAGTAGCAAGGAGTATCGAGCATTCTGTCAATTATAACAACGTTAATCAAAATTCTGAAACAAGGTTATAAAAAACTGTAACAAAAACCTAAAGAATAATTTACACTTTTAATCTGTCAGGGGAAGTGGGTTGACGAAATTCACTGTACATGGATTATTTGTTTTGTTCAAAGAAATAAGTGCGAATACAAAACACGCCACTGCTCTCAGCTGATTTCAGAACTCCCCTATATTTACGAATCCGCGCATCCCTTCTAGGTTTCTCTTACCTCTACTCCGAAATTCGCACATTGCGCATGCGTAACGCGTGAGCGGCAAAGTGAGGTTAAATTTGTTTGAGGTTAGTCCAACGGTCACAGCTGAAAAAAATAAAAAGTGCTTGAAGTGTATTTTTGAAACAATTATCAAACAAAATGGAAATATCCGACGAGAATCTTCGTATTTTGAGCCAATACTTACAGCAAACATTAAGTCCCGATCCCAACACTCGTCGACCCGGTAAAAAGTTCCCTCAACTTTTCAACAAAACTTACGAATGATTTTAGCTGAAAAATTCCTCGAAGGCGTCGAAGTGAATCAGAATTACCCTCTGTTGCTGCTTAATTTAGTCCACAAGCCTGAAGTAGACGTGACAATACGGGTTGCAGGCTCAATTGCGTTTAAAAATTACATCAAACGCAATTGGAGTATTGTAAGTTTGTGGTGGGTTTGGGGTGTAGTTTTATAAATTGTATGGGTTTAGGAGGAGGATCAGAATGATAGAATTCATGAAAGCGATAGACTGGCTATTAAGAATCTCATTGTTTCTTTAATGTTGAGTTCACCTGAAGCGATACAAAAACAGTTGAGTGACGCAATTAGCATAATAGGAAAAACGGACTTTCCCCTAAAATGGCCAGAATTGATCACTGAAATGGTGGACAAATTTGCTACAGGTTCAAAAGCTTCTTTTTTCTTCTTTCATTTAATTTTTTCTTTGTTTAGGTGATTTCCACGTAATCAATGGAGTCTTGCAGACAGCACATTCCCTCTTTAAGAAATATCGTTACGAATTCAAGTCCAATGAACTCTGGTTGGAAATTAAATACGTACTAGACAAATTAGCGAAGCCTTTAACGGATCTTCTTGTGGTAATTATTAAATTGTGGTTTTTGTTTCACTAGTTTGAGTTTTTAGGCTACAATGGGGTTAACACAAGCACACCAAAACGACGTCAGTGCTTTAAAAATAATATATCATTCACTTGTGTTGATTTGTAAAGTATTCTACTCTTTAAATTACCAAGATCTTCCGGAATTTTTTGAAGACAATATGGCCACATGGATGTCAAATTTCCACACGTTGTTAACAGTTGATGTTAAAGCATTGCAAAATTCAGTATGGACTCAAATCATTTGCTTTGATTTTATTGTCGTTTTAACATTTGTAGAGTCAAGATGAAGCTGGCGTAATAGAACAATTGAAATCACAAGTTTGTGATAACATTGCTTTGTATGCCCAAAAATATGATGAGGAATTTCAACCATATTTACCACAGTTTGTAACTGCTGTTTGGAATTTATTAGTTGTTACAGGTCTTGAACCAAAATATGATTTGGTACAATTTTCTCAATTTGTTTGATATTTGTAATTATTGTAAATTTTTAGTTGGTCTCCAATGCTCTCCAATTTTTGTCGTCAGTTGCAGAAAGGTCACATTATAGGAATTTGTTTGAGGATAATGCGGTTTTGAGCAGCATTTGTGAACAAGTTATCATTCCTAATATGGAATTTAGAGGTTGGCAGAACTTTACTTGTGGAATTTTGTTTAACAGTGTTTTGCAGCATCAGATGGAGAGTTGTTTGAGGATAATCCAGAGGAATACATTAGGAGAGATATTGAAGGGTCTGATGTGGACACAAGAAGGAGAGCCGCTTGTGATTTAGTTAATACTTTGAGTCAAAACTTCGAAAAACGGATAATTGATATATTTGGACAATACTTACAGGTATTTTTGTAGTTTCAACCTTATCAGGCCGGAGTCTGACGATCGGAGTCATAGCGAGCATAGCAATAATGAACTTATCTACAAGACCTGTTTATTAAATTGCAATGATTAGGTACTCAATCGACGCAGAATTTGACGCTCTTTATTTTTGGTGATAACAAACTTTTTGATTAAACGCTTAGTTTCGGAGAAATTTGGAGAAAACTGACAAGGTCAAACATTTTTAAAGGTGTTTTTTTAACATTATAGCTAAAGCTTTGCTCGAAAATTGGAGCAGACTCAGATTATTCATAATAGAGATCTTTTTAAGCAATGAAAACAATTTCCAGGACATTTTTAAAAAGCAGCATGCCCTTTTCTAGACTATTTGGAACTTTCACAAAAGAAAAAATTAATTAAAAAAAAATAACGAAACAACTGCACAAACAACAAAAAATAAATAATTCTTATACTCGTATGGAATAATTTTGCAAAACTGTTAAAGAAAGAAATGCTTCTATCGAATTTAAAGAAAGAGAATTATTCGGATTGCAATTTTTTAACTTTGTTCTTTTTTCTTTGCTTACAGTCTCTTCCTTATTATTTCTGTTTTTCGAATAATTATTCAGTAGAATATTTGAAAAATAAGTTAGGCAAGTTTGTATTAACATAGTTAACTCAGTGTTACAAACACTGCAAAAAGCGTCATTGTCAATGATGTTTTTAGATTTTAAATTGTTTATTGCCAAAATTATTTAAAAAATTCATCTTCATATTTCTCAGAAATTATTACGTTAAATAAAGCGTAAGTTTCAGCACGAATATTCAGTAAATAATCTGACGGTACTTTTAAACCACCTCGATCGATGACTGTTATACAGGGTGTTCCATTTTTATTGTTAAAAATTTAACCAAGTGATAGAATATTCAATTTTAAGATAAAACTTTCCTATAAACATATATCGAAAAAAATTATATTAGGGAGCCACATCCCCTGAAAGGGGTGCATTTTTTAATAGATTTTTTCCAATGTTTCAGAAACCATCGTGGATAAAATTACAAAATTTGGTACAACTAATAACCTTTATAAACCTAAAACGTCGAAATTTTCACTCAGGGGCGTGTTAAACTGGGGGGGTTTAGGGTAAAAAGTACCCTAACTATTTTGGCGGTTGGTTTTTGCCAATTTCAGCCACAAAATTCTAAATTTTATAGTTTTTCACAAAAAAGAGGTCTCTTGTGTTTTTTCGTTAAAACTTACCGTTTTTTTGAGTAAAATCAGTTTACAATTTATCTTACAGACCATAAAGAGGATAAAAATTAAAAATCAAATTTGTATCACCATTTCTTTAAATTCGTTCAGGTGTTTAAAAGCAATCAGCTGTACCAACTCTTGTAATTTTATCTATTCTGCAATAGTGGTAAAACCCCATTAAAAACTCATCTTTTTCAAGGGGTGTAGCTCGCTTACGTAACATTTTTTGCCACATGTTCATAAAAAACTTTTGTCTTAAAATTGAATATTCTATCATCTGTTTAAGTTTGTAACAATAAAAGCGGAACACCCTGTATAATCAAATTTTGAAGGTTCTATTTGCAAATCATTTGTCGTTGTTAGAAGCTCTTTGCAGTCTTTACAAGAAATTGTATTAGTAACTTTTTTTTGCAATATACCGTACTATATAAATTAACACCGATATATCGCTTTCACTTAAAATAATATTTTCAGTATTTAAATCATTAAATTTCAGCACCCTTTTCACATTTAAACAATATATCTTTTATTTGAAAGTCACCGTGATTGGAAGACTTAAGTTTCAACAAATTTATTATCTTCAATTTTCTTTCCGATTCCAGCTCACGACGTTTGTCTCTTTTACTAAAAATGTTGACTTACAATTCACACAGTGAAGTCTAAAATTTTTGAAAGAAAAATTGTTGTTCCTGTAACTTCCTTACCAAAAGTAGTTTCTAATGCTGCTATATATTTTTTGTCTAATGTTTTCAAACATAGATTGACATTTTGCCTCTCTAAAGATGTGGGAAATAAAGGCTTTTTACTTAAATTTTACAATTTTGTTTTCTTCAATGTAGTATAATTGTTTTAAAATACTTACACATGCCTCAACAACTTGGTCTAAAATTTCATTATCTACTACATTTGGAATGTGAAATGTTTGTCTTGCATCTTTTTGGTTAAACCAATTATTTCGTATGCACTTCAGCAAGTGAATACTATCAAATAAAATAAAAATTGGAAAATTTGGATTATATGGATTACTGACGGAACATGTCAAATTACTGTTGAATAGTGTCTCAAAACAATTTCTATTCACTTTATTGTTGTCTGATGTAATTGCTAAAACATTATAACCCACTTCCGTTAAAGTTTTTAAAACGCCGTTTAGTAATTGAAATAAAAATTCACCGTTAATATTTTTAACTGGGTAAAGGGCAACTACATCTTTGTTATTTGAAAGTACTGACGATATCATGAAAGTCTGATTTGTCGTAGCTAATTCAGAACTGTCATTGCAGCTAATTCCTTGTATTTTTCCTCCCTTATAACATACATTAGCTTTTACGTATATTTTATCAAGTTGTAAATTTACCAGCTTATCTTTTTCATCAAGTATATTTAATTTTTCTGTTAAGTATATGACGTGTGAAGAAGTTATTTCAGGATTTTCGGTACCTAACTTTAACGACAATTTTTGTATATATTTTGTATGTGGTAAAACAATGTTTTTACTATTTCTAATCATTTTATACGCAGATGGATAAGAAAAGTATATAGTACTGGCCCAAATTATCATATCAGTAGAATACCTGTGCTGGTTACTAAAAATTAAAGAAAATTGTTCACGAATAAATATTAGTTTCATTTGTAATTTTTTCATTGTTGGACTCTATCAACTTGCTTATAGAGTTACTAATGGTTGCAACAAATGACTCTTCATTCACATTTTCATTTTTTAGAGTGATTAAATAATTAAACAATTGAATAAGTTGCGACCATTTTTTTACACATAATGTTTTTTCTAAAATGTTACTAACTTCTTTATCATTAAAAAGTTGTTTAATTCTAATGTTAAAATCTATTGTTATTGAACAGGCAATTTTAGAAATACCTGCTATCATATGTACTTTAAAAAAGCACACTTTGTCTTGACCTTCCTTAAAAAAAAATTGTCTTCTAATTTCAATTTATCTTTAAAATGTTGTTTAAAATTTTCAAAAGTATTGATAAGATCAGCTGCTTCCAGGTCTTTCATTTTTTTGCATTCACGTTCTTCTATTACTATTTGTTGAGCTTCAGGTGTACATTTTTCGTAAAATAATGCGGAAGATGTTTAAAAAATGTCAGTAAGTTGTAGAATTTTTCTGGGAAGTGACACTTGCGACCCATTATCTTTTTTCATTATATCTTCTTTTATAATGTACTGTTCATCAAAATGTAATATGCAAACGACAGAATTATTGTTGTAAAATTTTTGCGAGGTGTATTTCGCATCCATTGTTTTCTATTTTCTGTATATGATGGGAAACGAAAAACCGGGGTGTAATTTTTTTTATTATTATCATTGAATCTGCATCCAGGAACACAACAACGTCGAGGCATATCAGGCTCTGGCCTGATAAGTAACATAGGCCTCGTTTCAACTCGCGAAAAATTCAACGAAATTACTATTTTAGGTAATGCTATCAAAATACAACGAAAATCCCAAAACAAACTGGCGCAGTAAAGATGCCGCCCTCTACTTAGTAACTTCTCTCGTAAGTAGGGGGGCTACGCAAAAACATGGAGTCACTCAAACCAGCCAATTGGTGTCAATACCACAATTCTGTCAAGACCAAATCCTTCCCGAGCTTAAAAGAACCGATGGTAAAAAATTCAAATTTACTAATATTTTGCTTAATTTTTATTTTTTATAGTTGATGAATTGCCGGTCCTCAAAGCCGATGCAATCAAATATTTGCTAACTTTTCGGTCTGTACTACCCAGCGACATGGTCGTCGGAGCTATCCCTTTATTAATTCAACATTTAACAAGCGAAAGTGCAGTCATACACACATACGCAGCTTGTACAATTGAAAAAATTCTCATCATGAAGGATAGCAACAATCAGAATGTCCTAAATGGGGCTACTTTGGAGCCCTTGACAAGTCAATTGTTGGTTAATCTTTTTGCAATTTTGGACAAACCAGTCTCTGAGGAAAATGAATACGTTATGAAAAGTAATGTGCGATGACACTTGTAGATTTTTAAAAATTATTTTTGGTGTTTTGTAGCCGTGATGAGGAGTTTTTCGACGTTACAAGACCGTATCATTCCTTATTTGCAATCAGCTTTACCCAAACTCACAGAGAAGTTGCAAATGGTTGCGAAAAATCCATCAAAACCCCATTTTAATCATTATTTATTTGAAACGATTTCTTTAGCGATTAAGTAAGTTTGCTAACAGTTGGAAGTTTTTTCTTAGTGTGGTTTTAGGATTGTTTGTAAAACGAATGCATCAGCGGTTACTTCGTTTGAAGATATTTTGTTTCCAATTTTTCAAGGAATTTTGCAACAAGATATCCAAGGTAATAATAATAAAGACTAAATATTAATAACACAGGGCGACAAAAAAAAGTCATGTGACAACTTGACAAATTTTATATCATTTTGTTCGTCTCAGTGAGACAAATCAAATGCACTATAAAAATTTTAAAAAGTCCACACTGAACTAAATAATTTTTTTCTAATTTAAATGAATTTAAAATACTTTAACTTTAAAAAAATCATTACTCAATAACTATTAGGCCGATTTCCTTCAAATAAAGACCATTCTAAAGGGATGGAGTTGCCCTTTAAAATGATATAAAATTTGAAATTGAATATTGGCAAACTTTTCTTCGAACAGTGTTCGAAGAAGTTCGAAGTAAATCGAAATAATCTAAGAAAATCCCTACGAGTAATTTTTTTTTCCATCATTACCATCGTGTAGAGCATCTCTTTATTAGTTGTAATCCAAATTTTCAAAAAAATATACCGAGTAGTTTTCAAGATAATAATTTTTTGAAGTTATGGTTTGCTAATCAAGCATTGCTCCATATAGGAGAAATGCATGTTAATCTTACTTAAAATTGCATTTTTATAAAAGTATTTGTTTTAAGACTCTTCTTTTGCTTAAAAATGGTCAATTGCACCTTCTTTGTTCTAATTAGAATAAATAAAAACTGTTTGTTTACTTAAAACAAATAAAGAGTACATGCGTACTAATTAAAGCAAATAAAGAGTTTTTTTGTTGTAAAAATGACCACTGATCATTGAGCAAAGAGGATCTTGAAGTTTAAGGCACGAGTCTTAAATATAAGGGCAAATCTTTTTCAAATCAAATCACTTTCCGTTCAGATTTCGACTTGTTGACTTTGTTCTAGCTTTCTGAACTTTTTTGAAAATGTTTTGAGCAAATGCTTTCTCATCACTTTCGAGTGATGTTAAATACAATAAGTCATCTGATTTATTTTGTTGGTACATTCTACGATTAGCCTCAGTTAGCTTGTAGGTAGTAGTTGTTGTGATAACAGTTGCACACGAAGCAACTGACTTATTGCATTCAACATCAACATAAGAAAGCATTTGCTGAGAACATTTTCAAAAAAAAGTTCAGAAATCTAGAACAAAGTGAACAAGTTGGAATCTGAATGGAAAGATTTGTTCTTATATTTAAAGCTACTGCTATAAACTTCTACATACTTTTTGCTCAATGATCAGTGATCATTTTTAGAACAAAAAAAACTCTTTATTTGCTTTAATTAGTACGCAGGTAGTCTTTGTTTGTTTTAAGTAAAGAAACAGTTTTTTGTTTATTCTAATTAGAACAAAGAAGGTGCAATTGACCATTTTTAAGCAAAAGAAGAGTCTTAAAACAAATACTTTTATAAAAATGCAATTTTAAGTAAGATTAACATGCATTTCTCCCATATGGCGCAATACCTGAATGCAAACCTTAGCTTCAAAAAAATCATATCTTAAAAACTACTCGGTATATTATTTTAAAAATTTAGATTCTTACTAATAAAAAAATGCTGTACACGATGGTGACCAAGAAAAAAAAATTACGCGTAGGGTTTTTCTTAGATTACTTCGAACTTCTTGGAACACTGTTCGAAGAAAAGTTTGCCAATATTCAATTTCAAATTGCATATCATTCTAAAGGACAAGTCCATCCCTTTAGAACGGTCTTGATTTGAAGGAAATCGGCCTAATAGTTATTGAGTAATGATTTTTTAAAGTTAAAGTATTTTAAATTCATTTAAAAAATTATTTTGTTCAAAGTATGTGGACTTTTTGAATTTTATTTTAGTGCATTTGATTGTTCTTACTGAGACGAACAAAATGATATAAAATTTGTCAAGTAGTCACATGACTTTTTTTTGTCGCCCTGTATAACTTATTCTTTTGTTTTAGAGTTCATTCCATACGTGTTTCAAATTTTGTCTCTGTTGATGGAGTTCACCCCAATGGGCAATATATCAGATGCGTATATCCAGCTTTTGCCTTGTCTTTTGGCCCCCGTTTTGTGGGAACGTCCGGCTAATATCAGCCCCCTTGTTCGCTTGTTAAGCGCGTTTACGGTGCATGCGGGTTATCAGATTGTAGCACAAGATAAATTGGTACGATTTACTAAAACAAAAATTGTTTTTAATTCTTATGTTGTAGAGCGGTTTTCTGGGAGTTTTCCAAAAACTCATCGCGTCAAAATCAAATGACCACGAGGGTTTCCATTTGATGCAAAACATGATCCAACATTTTCCAATCGAGGCTCTAACGCCATATCACAAGCAAATTTTCTTTCTGCTTTTCCAAAGACTGTCGTCGAGTAAAACCACGAAATTTGTTATAAATATAATTGTCTTTTTCTGTTTGTATGCCGTTAAGTATTCACCAGCTGAGCTGGTCTCGGTCATCGATGGGATCCAGCCCCAGTAATTTGAGTTTAATTGATGAATTCTAGCTCTAAAATAATTATTTTAGGATGTTTGGTATGGTCCTCGAGAAACTCTTAATCTCCGAGTTGCAAAAAGTTTCAGGGAATGTCGAAAGAAAAATCGTAGCGTGTGGTATCACAAAATTATTATGTGAATGTCAAGAGTTGCACACGGGAACTTATCAGAAATTCTGGCCGCAACTTTTACAAGTAATATAGTTTGATACCAATTCACAAACTTATGTTTTTTTTTCCAGGCTTTAATCATGTTTTTTGAAATGCCATTAGATGAAAGTTCTTTACCAGACGATCATTTTATCGAGATTGATGACACTCCCACGTTTCAGACCGCAAGTGCCAAGTTGAATTTTGCAAATATTGCGAAACCGGACCCTTTGCAAAGTCGGTGTTTGAAAAATTCGTGACCAAAAATTGTAAAATTGTTTTAGGTTTTGGGGAACCGCGACAATTTTTGGCGCAGAATTTGGCGACTTTTGGACGTGCCCAGCCTGGAAAATTGCCGGCCTTAGTGGGAAATATGAACCAGCAAGCGCAGACCATCCTTAATCAGTATCTGGCAAAATTTGGTGTACAACTCATGTAATTTTTCCTTTTGTTGTGTTGTTTATATTGCTTTCAGAATAGTGAATAAAACCATATTTTTTAAAAAAGATTGTTTTAATTAAGTTAATTGTAAAAATGTACATGAAACTAGACATCAGACTCTTGATCATCAGCAAATAAACTACTCTGGGGCACCATCCTTAAAAAAACACCATTAGAAAATAATTTAATTATTTATTGTAATAGAAACCTTCTTTTCTTTTCGTTCAACGATCCTGTGCTTTCATCAGTCTAGAAATAATAGATTAAGAGTGCAAATACAGATTCCACAAGGCGACAAAAAAGTCATGTCGTGACAACTTGACAAATTTTATATCATTTTGTTCATCTCAGTGAGACAAATCAAATGCACTAAAAAATTGTTCAAAAAGTCCACACACTGAACTAATTTTTTTTTTCTAATTTAAATGAATTTAAAATATTAACTATAAAAAAATCATTACTCAATAACTATTAGGCCGATTTCCTTCAAATAAAGACCATTCTAAAAGGATATCCTTGCCTTTTAGAATGATATGAAATTTGAAATTGAATATTGGCAAACTTTACTTAGAACAGTGTTCGAAGTAAATCGAAATAATCTAAGAAAAACGCTACGAGTAATTTTTTTTTTCATCATTACTATCGTGTAGAGCATCTCTTTATTAGTTGTAATCTAAATTTTCAAAAGAATATACCGAGTAGTTTTCAAGATATGATTTTTTGAAGTTAAGGTTTGCTAATCAAGCATTGCTCCATATAGAAGAAATGCATGTTAATCTTACTTAAAATTGCATTTTTATAAAAGTATTTGTTTTAAGACTCTTCTTTCGCTTAAAAATGGTCAATTGCACCTTCTTTGTTCTAATTAGAATAATCAAAAACTGTTTCTTTGCTTAAAACAAATAAATAGTACCTGCGTACTAATTAAAGCAAATAAAGAGTTTTTTTTGTTATAAAAATGATCATTGAGCAAAGAGGATCTAGAAGTTTAAGGCACGAGCCTTAAATATAAGAGCAAATCTTTTTCAAATCAAATCACTTTCCATTCAAATTTCGATTTGTTCACTTTGTTGTAGCTTTTTGAACTTTTTTTGAAAATGTTCTGAGCAAATGCTTTTTCATCACTTTCGAGTGATGTTAAATGCAATAAGTCACCTGATTTATTTAGTTGGTACATTCTGGGATAAGCTTCAGTTAGCTTGTAGGTAGTAGTTGCTGTGATAACAGTTGCACACGAAGCAACTGACTTATTGCATTCAACATCAGTAAAAAGTGATGAGAAAACATTAGCTGAGAACATTTTCAAAAAAAAGTTCAGAAAGCTAGAACAAAGTGAACAAGTCGAAATCTGAATGGAAAGTGATTTGATTTGAAAAAGATTTGCCGTTATATTTAAGGCTCGTGCCTTAAACTCCTAGATCCTTTTTGCTCAATGATCAGTGATGATTTTTAGAACAAAAAAACTCTTTATTTGCTTTAATTAGTACGAAGGTACTCTTTCTTTGTTTAAAATAAAGAAACAGTTTTTGTTTATTCTAATTAGAACAAGGAAAGTCCGAATGACCATTTTTAAGCAAAAGAAGAGTCTTAAAACAAATACTTTTATAAAAATGCAATTTTATATAAGATTAACATGCATTTCTCCCATATGGCGCAATACCTGAATAGCTTCAAAAAAGCATATCTTAAAAACTACTCGGTATATTATTTTAAAAATTTGGATTCTTACTAATAAAAAGATGCTCTACACGATGGAGACAAAGAAAAAAAAATACTCGTAGGGTTTTTCCTAGATTACTTCGATTTAATTCGAACTTCTTCGAACAGTGTTCGAAGAAAAGTTGGCCAATATTCAATTTCAAATTGCATATCATTTTAAAGGGCAAGTCCGTCCCATTAGAATGCTCTTGATTTGAAAGAAATCGGCCTAATAGTTATTGAGTAATGATTTTTTAAAGTTAAAGTAATTCATTTAAATTAGAAAAAAAATATTTAGTTCAAAGTGTGTGGACTTTTTGAAATTTTTTTTAGTGCTTTTGATTTGTCTCACTGAGACGAACAAAATTATATAAAATTTGTCAAGTTGTCACGACATGACTTTTTTTTTGTCGCCCTGTGTTCTGAATCTAAATATTCACGATAAAAATATATTTTACCTGGTCTCTATTTGTGCAATTTGTGCTGGAGCACCTGCACCCCGCTGAACAACTTCGATATAATTTTCTACACCCACATCTTTTAGAGCAATTGCTCTTAACGCACATACACCCACCATCAGATGTTCTTTTTAACGAAATATTTTCTCCATCTAAAAAAATATTTTAAAAAGGAACAACGACAATTTCATGTACTGACCCGGATTTGTTCTTCTTTTTTCAAGTAACCATTTACCAACTGGAGTACGCTTCCAATCAGGATCGTTTGCGATATCATCGAATTCTTCCATACTAGCATCAAAGTTTTCCTACAATTACAAAAATTTAGTTAAAAAAAAATCATGAATAGATAGGTACCTGATTTTCCATTGTATAAGTCGAATCGGGTTCTCTCTTTATTTTCAATTTTCTTCGTCTCATGTTTTCGATCGGTGTCTTGAGTTCAGCTACGGCCTCTTTAATTTGCGACTCTTTAGCCAACTGCTAAAATAACAATGAAATAGAGAATAACAATAAATTTATGATTACCGTAATGGTGTCTATTTTTTCCTTCAACTCGTCGGCGTGACGTTGTGTTTCGTGTAGTTTTTCCATTAATTCCTGATTTTTCCGCTCCAAAATTTCGATTTGTTCTGTTTGGATTGCACAGCATTGTTTTAGCTCCTCACTTCCATTCTGGACTTCTACGCCGCGTAATTGTCGCAATAAAAGGGCAATTTTCTCTTCATACTCTTTCTGCATTTGTGATACGTCTTGGTTGTTTTTCATTTCGAGAATTTTGAAGCCCGTTTCGAATTTTTCGTTTTTTTCTTTAATCTAAAACGTTTCATTTAATTACAAATAAAACTCTAAGTAAGCATACTAGCCCAGTCAAATTAGACAAAAATAGGGCGATCGGTGGAAAAAAATCCTAGAGAATTGGAATTTTTTTAAACGCTTTCTTTATTCTTGGGTAGACATATATCAAAAGTCCCCGAAGGTGGGGGGCGAGCTCGGGGAGGGGGCTAAAGGTATCTTTTTTTGTTTTTTTGCTTATATCTGGGAAACTATTACTCCTAACGGTTTTTGCCTGCTCATCAAAATTAAAGCCTACAAAATTTCCTACAAAAATGGTTCTTTGCATTTTTGTTGTAAGACTGACTAACTGTACGCGAGTTATAGGGCTGACAAGAAACATCATTTAAAAAAATGTGCTTTATCGGTATTTAAAACAGAATTAATCTTGTGATTTGAAAAAACTGAAAGCAAATTGAATTTATTGGGTATAACACATCATTAGAAAGTCTATAAAGTCTTCCGAGTCGTCCTCATATTCTGCATCTTCGTCTTCAACTTAAACATTGAAAACCGAATTACAGTCTTGTTCAGTACAATATTAATAAATAGATGATTTAATATCGATGATTTGAATAAAGCTTACAGTAAATTGAATGTATTGGATCCAACAGTTTATTAGAGGTGCCACGAGGGTCTATCAAGACTTCCGAGTCATCCTTATATGCTGAACTAGCATTTACCTGCGACTTTGTCCGCGTGTATTTCTGATATAAAATGGGAAAAAGCCCGTTCACAAAACCATTCCATAGGCTTAGGTACTCTATAAAGCTAGATAATTACCTATGTTATGTATAGGATTCAGTTATAGTAGTCTCGTTCTTCGCATGGGCTATGTTTATGGATAAATATTAAATGTTGATTTTCACAAAGTGTCGTCTCAGTGTACTTCTGCACTCTCAAAATTTGAAATTTCATGTTTCTACTTTTGTTTTTAAGCGTTTAAACTCTAATTTATTTCATTAAAATTTGAAAAGTGCACTTCTATGCTTTTTTCTAAGGATCATATTTTCTAAATATAATGTTTTTATATCCCTTTAAATGTGTACACCGTTTTATTCCCTGAAAAACTAATTTTCGAAAAATCTGATTTTAGTGCCCCTTTACACCTCTGAAGAATTTTATGTTTATATCTTTGTTTAAACATTTACACCCCATTTAACCCCCTTACAGATTGATTCTCTCTTTTATCCAAAATTTTTATTTATATCTCCTTTTAAATGTTTATACCCGAGTCACCTTTCAGGCAGACCAGCTTAGTTAGGGAAAGCTCTACACATATAAATACTTACCATAAACTAATGAAATGTGTTTCAAAGGATTTTTAATGCAATTTTATGTACACTCCAAACTTTTGAAGCCCACGGTTAGTCCTACGACAAAAATGAATACGACCATTTTTGTAGGAAATTTTGATGCAGAAATAGACTTCTACAGAAAATTCTGCATAAATTACATAAACGGTGAGTTTGTATTTATAGACCCAGGTGACTCCCCCTTCCTTTAATGAAGTATTGGACCCAGTAAATTCAGTTTACTGTCAGTTTTTTTTTTTTTAATTAGAAGACTAATTCTGTTTTAAATGCGGATAAAGCACATTTTTTTTAAATGATGTTTTTATTCTGCCCTATAACTCGCTTACGGTTAGTCCTACAACAAAAATGCAAAGGACCATTTTTGTAGGAAATTTTGTAAGCTTTAATTTTTATAAAAAGATAAAAACCTGTAGGGGTGATAATTTCCCAGATATAAGTAAAAAAAACAAAAACAGACACTTTTAACCCCCTCCCTCTCCTCGAGCTCGCCCCCACCTTCTGGGACTTTTGATATATGTTTACCGAAGTGTAAAGAAAGCGTTTAAAAAAATTCCAACTATCTAGGATTTTTTTCCAACGATTTGTCTAATTTGACTGGGCTATACAAAAACTAACATCATTTAAAGCGACCTGCGTTTCAATCCATTTGTTTTTCGCCATCACTTCACTCGCCTTTAATTCTGCCGCTTGTTCTAATAAAATTTTAATCGCAAATTTCGCTTCACCCATGGTTTGTATATTATCAAACTTTGATTTTTTATTTTCTTCCTCAGAGTCTAGTAGTTTCTGTTGTAAATCCTGGATTTGTACCGATCGCATTTCCATATCGCTCTCAATTTCCTGCACTTGCGATTCATCTAAATTCTCCGGATTTTCCCTCAATTTGTCCAACTGCTGCTGCAACGTCGCCCTATCTTCCAAAAGGCCCTTCAACGTTGCCTCCGCCTCTATCAAATGCATGTGGACGTCAAATTCTTGTCTCATCCAACAGCCTATTTTCTCATTTTTTCCCGAATTTTTCGATTCTTGAGTGGCTTTCCGCAACGCAAGGGCGTCTTTGAGTCGCTTATTAAGAGCCACAGCTTCCTCCACTTTTCTCTTGAGGACATTTTGTTGTTTACTATGCATGGCTTCCATTCGGACCATTTTGGTTTTATTTTTGCGGTCTTCTTGTTTGAGTTTTGCGAGTTCGCGTTCTCTTTGAATTTTCCAGGTCCGGAATCGCTCCGATTCTTCGCGCATTTTACGAATCAATTTCACTCTCGTTTGTTTCATTAAATGAATTTCGCTATTTAATTGATTGATTTTAGTCACATCCTTCTCTTTCAATTTGATCAAGCGGGCTTGTTCTTGGACTTTTCGGTTTAATTCTTGTAATTGATTTTCTAATTCTTGGACTCGTTTTCTTCGCTGTTCGGCTATTTTCGACGAAGGTCCGTGTGATTGTGCGTTTTTTAATTGTTGCATCAATTCGTCTTTTTCTTTCTGTAGTTGAAGAATTTTATTTTCGTTCTCCTTCAAGCCTTCATAATCGACTAAATACTGAGTGTTTGTGGAAATTTGTCGGGCTAAATGCTCCTTGATTGCTAGTTGTTTAGTCAACTCTTGTAGTTCAGTATTGAGAGCCATTTGTTGTTTGGTGTAATTTTCTTGATCCTTACTCATTTCATCTACATTTTTAAATTTGCCGTCTTGACTTTTACGAATGTCGATATTTCGCTCGTGGTGGAGAATTTCATCTTCGGTTTTCTTTTGTTCAGAATCAAGCACCATGAATTGTTTTTGAATCTGTTGCAACTTATCCAAATTCTTCTTAAAACCATCTGTATCATTCTGATTGAAACTCAAACTGATATTGTCAAGTGTGAGATCATATTCATGTTTTAGCTCTTGAATTTTTTTATGGAGATTTTCATTCGCATTTTGTAGTATAATTAATTTTTCCAAAAGACCGGTGTTGTCGTGTAAAGTTGACGACAGTTGCACAGTGAGATCTCGAATTTTTGTTTGCAATTGGACGTTTTCTTCCCTTAAAATGATAATTTCATTGGAAGAAACGGCAGGTCCTCCCTGACCCACAATTTGTAATCTTAATTCTTGTATAGTTTTTTTCAGTAAGTTGATTTCGGCTGCTTTCGGATCTTGGTTCACAATCGGTTTGTTTTGTATTCGACGAGCTCGATCAGCGTAACGTAATGTCGAAATGGACTCTTCTATGTTGTAATCAGCGGGACTAACACAGGCAATCATCAATGTTATGCTGTTGCCCCCCAAGGAATCTTTCAGTAGACGAGTTAAATTACTGTCTCGGTAAGAGATATAACCGTGTTGCTGTTTTTCATCAGCTAAAGCCGAAATCACGTTGCCTAACACTAAAAGACCCTTGTTTATATTAACGCCTTCTTTAAATGTTGTTCCAACAGCTCCCGTCTTTTTGGGTCTTTCGGAACCCGCCAAATCGACCAAATGGAACTTTGCAGACTTCTCATTGCTAAAAATAACAATTTATTAAACGAAAAATTTCATTACACTAATCATCGATCTTTGCAGTAAAATTAAAATTCATATCTTTTTCCTCTATATCAATAAATACAGAGTGGTTATAAATGAATTTCATCTAGCCAGCTTTGGAATTTTTTTGCATGTAACTTTATTTGTGCCGCTCTACTTTTTTTTAAAGCTCTAGTTTTGTCATTAGTGTCACTTATTAATTAATAATAAATTGTTATTAATTAAACTTTTATTGTTTCAACTAATTTCCAATAATAATTGATAATAATGTATACTTTGGAAGAAAACAAGTTTATAATTGAAGTCTATTTTCGAAGTGGACGCTTAGTAAACGGCGATTTTTTAATTTTGAGTTACAACAAGTAGGTACCTCTATTTTCGTAAAGCGGCATTTTTTATTTTACATGGAAAATTCACAGCTGGCTAGATGAAAATCATTTATAACCACTTTGTATTATCAATAAAGCTTGGATTATATGCACGAAATATTCGTAAAATATGCGCATATACCGGGTGCGGCATCAGTTACGCCCATTGATAACTCGCGACTTCTAATTAATTAAAATTGGCGATATTTCATAGGTTCCTGGTATCGTTCCTTATATGGCATTTTTCTCTGGGGCGCGAGTTTTGGCGCACTCGGTATATCAATTATACAGATTAATTCAATTGTATCAGTTTTGGCTTCAAACATTTTTTTAGTATTTTGTTTAAATTTGATTCGCAGCATATACCGGGTGGGGCATCGGTTACGCGCACTTGATAAATCGCGACTTCAAATTAATTAAAACTGGCGATATTTCATATACCTAACTAATTATTGATAGGGTATAATTTGAGAATTTTTCTAATTTTTTTTTGATAATAAATGAGTCCGTAACAGTTTTGTATGTTTTATGAATACTTTTTGTTAATTTACCTATAAGTTTTTACACTAAATGAATCTGTACCTGTCAGCGCATCAAACTTTGATATCACAACTTCAAATTTTGACTTGGTTAGCCAAATAATCGCTTTTTTTATTTCAACACAAGCCAGACCCGTGATTTATGACAAAAAGACCCTTTAAAGCGCTCGGCTACCAGTAAATGATTCTTTTGTTGGCAAATTATTGCCAACATTGTTGGCATTGTTGTAAACCTTGGAATCTTACCCCAAATGCAGTTCCCCATTGTCACCTAAATTTACGATGACACAAGTAGCAGGTCATAAATAAAAATGATTTTCAAAGTTAAGATGGAAAATTGCGTTTAATACGTATTTTCACAAAAATATGCACAAGATATTAAGAAATATGCCCCAATATTTTGGCATATGCATCGATATGCAAAACTTTTAATAATAATAATAAAGCGGCTTTTTGAATTGTACATACAAGTAAATACAACTCGGGAGGCGAAGTCTAGCAACTGCTATTCATACTTAACCCCCTAAACAAAACAAAAAGAAAAATGAAAAATTGCATTACAGTTTAACTAAAATTAAGAAAAACTACTTAAGTAGAAAGAACAGGAATTAAAACAATAAGAAAATAACAAAAAGCAAAAGTAAAAAACTAGAAGTTCAAAAAATGTATTTTTATATTTTTGCGAAAATTGCTCACTGAAAGTTTTTGTTTAAACAAATGAGAAGAATTATATAACTTTATAGTATTGTAAGAGAGAGAGAGAGATCTTTTCAATATTGTTTTTTTTAAACTTTGGTAATGACAGGTCAGCAATATTACGAACAGAAACTTGATGACAACTTTTTCTCGAATGAAATATTTCACGGAGATAGGGTGGTGAAGCTGTAATAAACATTTTATACAGGGTGTTTACGGTCTTGAGGTTGAAATTTAAATGAGATGATGTTCACGGTAGAAGAAAACTAATACGCTATATAAAACAAAAATTCACGTTGTTAAAGGAAATTATTCATTTTACGCTATTTGTTTGAGAACCGCTGCTTCGGCTGCAACAATGGTCATTAGTATCATTAGTATCATTACCTTGTGTTTCACCGTAAATCATAATCACGAAAACCAATTTATTATTCAATAACATTCTTGATAATAACAATTGTGTGAGTTTTTTCTCGGTTACAGTGTTTCTGTACTCTTCTATTACTAGGTCAATTTTCAACTCCAAGACTGTAAACACCCTGTATATGAACACTGACAAGACATAATTGTATATTTAGTCTACCGGCAGCCAACCAAGTTCTTATATTTTTTGAGATACATGGTCAAATTTTTTTAATTTGTAAATAAAACCAGAGTACGAATTTTGTATTTTTTGTAATTTATATTTAGAATGATAATCTAAACATGAATAATAAATGAAGAGAGCATAATTAAGGTTGGAAAGCACCAATGACTCGCATAGTTTTTTTCGAAGTTTAAAATTCAAAATGTGATAATTGGAATATAACATTTTTAATGCAATATAAGAGCTCTTTACAATCAAGTTGACACGATCTCTAATCAATCGTCATTCCGAATCTATTATAATTCCAAGATTTTTTACACTGTTTTAGATACCTATTTCCATATTACCAATTTTGAGATTAATTTCCGAGTTGATTTTTTTTATTTCTTGTGGAAATGCAAATTGATGAACATTTACTCAAATTTCAATTTAAACCAATGCTTTTAGACAATAAGAAAATTTCATTTAGATCTTGATTAATAAAGTTGCAAGCTCGTTCTACATCGTCAGGATCAAAATGATAGTAGAACTGAAATTGAACCTTGCGGAACACCGGATGTTATTTCCTGCTCTTGATTGTGAGGGACAATTTGTTTCCTATTAATAAGGTACGAACCATAAAAAGATAATTTTGCACATAAAAGTGAGTGATCTAAGGTATCAAATGTTTTAGAAAAATCCAACAATGTCACAATGGTGGCATCACCTTTATCCAAAGCTTTAAAGCAATCATCAAGAATTTTTCCAAGGGCTGTGATGGTATTATAATTTTTTCGATATCCCGATTGGTTTATTCGTAATAATACCTTCAGAAACATAATTGTAAACCTGTTTATAAATGACTTTTTCTAAAAAAAAATTATAAGACGGGTAATATACTAATGGGTCTTAAGTCAGAACATGTAGTGGGATTTTTAATTTTGGGTAAAGGACGCACCAAAGCAGTTTTTCACATTTCTGGATAATATCCAATCTCAATACAGCAGTTGACAATTTGAATAGTCCATTTCGTCAATATGGGTGAACATAATTTCAACATTTTTGCTGAAATGTTAACAATAAAAAGTCAAAGTTGGGATAAATTTGTATCCTCGACTACACTAAACTTTGTATTTTTATAAATTGGTTTTGCCTCAGACAAGCCATTTTAATAACATAGTAATTAAGCCTTTCTAAGGAATCTTCACTTTTCAGATCACATCACTTCAAATAATTTTGCTAAAATCCGTTTGCAGGCAACTACTTATTCGCATAGAAGGATTTATTCGTTTTATACCAGGTGAATAGAAACTATGGAACCAAACGTTTTTTGCTTAAAGTATTTATTTTTTGAAAAAACTAATTGATGAAATATAAAGTACTATAAAAATGTGATGTTTTATCAAAAATAAAATTTTTCGAAATTTTTATTTGTTTTTG